ATTTTGAAAAATACATCACTCGATTCGTAGGAGGGTAGAAACTTGGAGACCTAGTTTATCTTGGTTTCCTTGATCTCTTCTATCGATTGATACCAAACTTGACCCATTTTCCAATTTTTGATCTCTCAGTTTGATCGTCCATAACTCAGTTCCTAGTTGACCTACGGAGGTCAAACCTGGTCTCAGGTCATTTTCTCGTCGAGATCTATCGATTGATATAGGTTTCGTCCGGATCGGCTTCCATGACCTGAGAAGCTCGAAAAACCAAAGGGGTTAGACTGCACTTTTTTTCCGATTTTCTCCAAATCCAAAGTTTCCTAGATTATTACATCAATCGATTGGAAATGACGTCAGAAGTACGAAAAATCCAAGTCAAAAAAAGTTCTGAGGCTTCTAGAATGAAAGTTATGATTTTTTTGAAGATTTTGAAAAATACATCACTCGATTCGTAGGAGGGTAGAAACTTGGAGACCTAGTTTATCTTGGTTTCCTTGATCTCTTCTATCGATTGATACCAAACTTGACCCATTTTCCAATTTTTGATCTCTCAGTTTGATCGTCCATAACTCAGTTCCTAGTTGACCTACGGAGGTCAAACCTGGTCTCAGGTCATTTTCTCGTCGAGATCTATCGATTGATATAGGTTTTCGTCCGGATCGGCTTCCATGACCTCAGAAGCTCGAAAAAAACCAAAGGGGTTAGACTGCACTTTTTTTCCGATTTTTCTCCAAATCCAAAGTTTCTTAGATTATTACATCAATCGATTGGAAATGACGTCAGAAGTACGAAAAATCCAAGTCAAAAAAAGTTCTGAGGCTTCTAGAATGAAAGTTATGATTTTTTTGAAGATTTTGAAAAATACATCACTCGATTCGTAGGAGGGTAGAAACTTGGAGACCTAGTTTATCTTGGTTTCCTTGATCTCTTCTATCGATTGATACCAAACTTGACCCATTTTCCAATTTTTGATCTCTCAGTTTGATCGTCCATAACTCAGTTCCTAGTTGACCTACGGAGGTCAAACCTGGTCTCAGGTCATTTTCTCGTCGAGATCTATCGATTGATATAGGTTTCGTCCGGATCGGCTTCCATGACCTCAGAAGCTCGAAAAAAACCAAAGGGGTTAGACTGCACTTTTTCCGATTTTCTCCAAATCCAAAGTTTCCTAGATTATTACATCAATCGATTGGAAATGACGTCAGAAGTACGAAAATCCAAGTCAAAAAGTTCTGAGGCTTCTAGAATGAAAGTTATGATTTTTTGAAGATTTGGAAAATACATCACTCGATTCGTAGGAGGGTAGAAACTTGGAGACCTAGTTTATCTTGGTTTCCTTGATCTCTTCTATCGATTGATACCAAACTTGACCCATTTTCCAATTTTTGATCTCTCAGTTTGATCGTCCATAACTCAGTTCCTAGTTGACCTACGGAGGTCAAACCTGGTCTCAGGTCATTTTCTCGTCGAGATCTATCGATTGATATAGGTTTCGTCCGGATCGGCTTCCATGACCTCAGAAGCTCGAAAAAAACCAAAGGGGTTAGACTGCACTTTTTCGATTTTCTCCAAATCCAAAGTTTCCTAGATTATTACATCAATCGATTGGAAATGACGTCAGAAGTACGAGAAATCCAGGTCAAAAAAAGTTCTGAGGCTTCTAGAATGAAAGTTATGATTTTTTTTGAAGATTTTTGAAAAATACATCACTCGATTCGTAGGGAGGGTTAGAAACTTGGAGACCTAGTTTATCTTGGTTTCCTTGATCTCTTCTATCGATTGATACCAAACTTTGACCCATTTTCCCAATTTTTTTGACCTCTCAGTTTGATCGTCCATAACTCAGTTCCTAGTTGACCTACGGAGGTCAAACCTGGTCTCAGGTCATTTTCTCGTCGAGATCTATCGACTGGTATAGAAAAAACCTTAAAAAAACACAAAAAAATTTTTCAAGAATTACACTGTTGTGCAGTGCACCTAATGCATTTTATCTGACGCCTATTCAAACTTTAATGACGAATTTCGGAGACCTGTATCTCGGCTCCCAGAGAAGCAGAAGCTTATCTGATTATATCGCTCGATTCGTCTTGACGTCAGCTTCCCAATGATATAAATCATTAACAGATTTAGCTTCATATGGAAGCTTCAGACTTGTTTCAGCTTACAAATACATTTTGTGATAAGTTATCAGTGATTGTGATATGTCATTGGATCCGCCTCTTGAACCGTCATCGATTGATTATAATATTATCTGGGTTTACGAAAAAACTGAGATGTGAGCTGGGAAAGTCTGTGACGTCATCACAGTTAGTCGTCTACAGGGGTGTCGGACGAATGAAACTAATCGATTTATTAATCATGGAACGATCTTTTTTTTATCATGATTGTAAATTTCAGATTACTGCTTACTGCTTCATATTTCATTTTTCAATACAATCGCCTTGAATGATGCGGCTATAATTAAAACTAATAAGCTTTTTTTTCAGCCAAAAAAAGCAGGAAAGCAAAAATTTGATAGTTCATTTTTCATTAGCTTGAGACGCTAAGGGGGCGTGGCCTGTCTGCGCTCTCCACGAGCCAGGCGCTATCTCGTGCATTATCTTGTGAGGACCTTTTTTCGATGGCTCAAGCCAGCTGTGAATCAGGACGCGAATCGGACGTTTCTGAGATTTCAAGGGACCACTTAAGGGTTAAAAAAAATGATACTGGAAAATTGAGCCAGAGATCCGAATTTTACGGGTTCTGTAGCGATTTCAAGAGACACAGGTCAAAAAAAATATATGTATGTACATAGATACTTTATAAACTTCAAAGGATGATCAACGGAATGATGGATGAATACGGAATATACATCAAATACAAGTTCCAATTCTTGTGCTAGACTCGTGGTTTTTTTTTTCTCAAAGGGCAAGAAAGGCTAGGAAAAATCTAGAAAAAAAAAAATCAAGAAATGCGAATTTAATCCCTCATGAGCTCCATCGAAGTACCGAGATTAAAAATTTATCACTTTGTTTGAAAAAAACCAATTTTGAAGCTTCTTTGGAGCAAACATGCGGTTAACGGAAAGAAAAAGTCCAGAAAAACGAGATCACTTGCGCTCCACGGATAAAACTCCTCTAAAGCGCCAAAAACTAGAAAAACATCACTTTTTCGGCCCCTATAGGGACCGCTCTGGAATCGTTCTCGAGTAAATCAAAATCTCAAGGCTTTATCTATGGAGCGCACATTAGCAAAACCGGAGCTCAAATTTCAGACATCAAAAAAAATGCTAGACATGATTCAAAATATCATCAAATCCATAATTTTGGTCGACGTTGGAAAAGGTCGATCTGACAATGTCGGAGGAAACATTCTGACGCGAGGATTCTGGAGCCGACGACGTCGCCAACTCGGGCATTTTGATGACGCCCAAGCCGCCGCCCAAGCGCCTGTAAGGGAAATTTTTGGAAAAGAGGGAGAAAAATGTTGTTCTTGGAGCACACATGCGTTTGACATCAAAGAAAAGTCACAGAAAAATGGGATCAATTGTGCTCCACGGATAAAACTCCTCTACAGCGCCGAAAACTCGTTCTTAGAAACTCCAGAGTGGTCCCTATAGGGGCAACCTTAGGAGCCCTTGGAGGGTGCCCTAGGAAGGAATACTTTACCAATCCCTATAGGGGCCACTAAAGCTTGCAAAAGTGGTTTCTATAGGGGACATGCTAGTCGATAATTATTATGAAATCTAGGCGAAGAAGCATTTGAAAAAAAACTGAATAAATAAGCGTTCTTTGAATGAAACTGAGAGACCCCTATAGGGTCCACTTGAGCTTTAGAAACTAAGGGATCAGACCCTAAACCCCTATAGAGACCACTTTTTTTGCTCCGATAAAGGTCCCCCCTAACCCCTACAGTGACCACTTTTTCGGCTCCTGTAAGCGTTTTTTGTTTCCCTAACCCCTAAAGTGACCACTCTGGAATCCCTCTCGTGGAAACCAAAATTTCAAGGTTTTATCCGTGGAGCGCACATTCGTAAAACTGTAGCTCAATTTTCAAAGACTTTTCCGAAAAAAAAAATCACAACATTCCCTATATAAAATAAAACTACAGGAAATGAACATTTTTCCGTTTTCAACTTTTTAATTCTTACCTATAATTCATAGTAGAATGATGTCTCCACCGGTTGTTATCGGGATCAAACTGTTCGACGGTTTTCAGATAAGTTTGTCCGTCGAAACCGCCGACCGCATACAATTTCTCGTCGACCACCGCGACGCCGACCTTAAATATTGACTAGAGAACGTTTTTTTCACCCCCGCTTGAAATTTTGCTGAAACTTTGGGGAAGTGTACTTTAGAACCTCCTGATTCCAGAGCAGAAAAAATTTTTCGCAATAGATCTTGTTTCCGAGTTATGGAGCTTCAAAAGCCCGAAATAGCGCTTTTTTGGCCTAATTTGCGTATTTTAGGGACTTTGAAGCTCCATAACTTTTTTCTGTAATGATAAACTGTCAATCAATACTTTGTTATAAATTATTTCTCCTTGAAATAGTTTCAAGCTAACTATAACTTTTTCTAGGCTGCGCTTATCCTGAAAAATCAGAATAATTGTAATTTTGAAAAATAAACTCGAAGTAACGCTATGAAAACTACATCAGGAGGACTTTTTGATAACAAAAAAATTTCCGATTTATTTCAGAGATTTAAAAATGTTGTAGCTTTTCTAAAAATTCAGATATTTAGAGTGCGGATATAAAAAAATAAAAATTCAAAAAAAGTAGCTCTATCTCGGTCAAAAACAAAAGAAAACACAAAAAAAAAATAGTTTTGCTCAAAAATTCAAGCTTTATCTCAAAGTGGAGGTCAATTTACTTTGCGAATTTCTTGAAAATTGGCCAGAACACTTCTGGATGTACCAGATGAAGATTCTGAAAGCCTTAACCTGCAGAACTTCCTCGTTCAAATAAGGGCTTAAAGCCTCAAAATAAGCCTGTAGCTCGTTCACGGCTGGCTGGGAACAGCGACCAGGTGGTTTTTTTTTTCGCGGCGAAGGTAGATCATGGCGACTATTCATGCGCCTTTCATAAAAGCCCCATTTCATGTTCTATTTGTTTCTCTTATAATTCGTCGATTTAAAAGAAATGTAAAAAACAAAAAAATTCGATAGAAAAAGAAATAATTCACCAAATGAGGCTCTTATTAAAGGCGCATGTATGGCCGCAATGAACTACCATCTCCGCGTAAGTTAAACCACCCGTTCGCTGTTCCAAGCTAGCCGTGAGCGGGCTATATTTTTCATGACTTTGAGGGTTTGCTTTGACTTCGAGACTTTTTTCTCAAAAACCAGTAAGATGTGCAGGTTGAGACTGTCAGAACCTTTTTCTGGTACATCAAGGAGAGTTCTGGCCAGCTTTCAGGAAAATCCCAAGTAAGGAGAACGCGAAAAAAAAAAAAACTAACCCCGCTTCTCCGTGCGTTCATCGCGATAACTGGCGTCCACTCGTTCATCGCTGCATTGTACCTGACAAAATACACTTTAAAAATATATTTATACATTATGAACAAACTTCTCAACGGTATTCAGTTCCGTGGTGGTATCCCGACCGCCAACCGCATAAATATGGCCATCAAACACGGCTGTGCCCAGGTGCTTCCTTCTGGTCAACATGGGGCGAATTTCTTCCCATTTTCCAACTCGTGGATCGTATCTAAGAATAGAAATCCCGTTAGACAAACGACAATCAAAAATACGATTGAAAAAAAAATTTTTTCACTGTTCTCATTCAATGGAAAAAGTTATTATTATACTTTTCCAATGCACCAAAAAATACTATCATAATTAATTATTAAAAAATTTGTCAAAATTTCTCGAAATCGCATAAAAATACATTAAATAGAGATTTAAATTTCGTCAGTTCCTAAGTTCAGTGATGAATCAACTAAAAATCCTAAAATTTCAGGGCGTTTTTTTTTACACAAATTCCCCAAAATCATTCCGAAATTTCGATTTCAATGCATTTTAAGTTATCAAAAATAAACTTATGACGTGTTCAATTTGATTCTGCGAAATGTGAAATGATCTCTGACTCTCCAAAAAATTTAGTGATCTTTTTCCTTTCTTTAACAGGTATTTTTACATTTCGCGAATTCAAATCGAACACGGCATTAAAGAAGAACAACGGTAAACAATAAAAAATATAAATAAATTCAGAAAAATGCAATGAAAATCAGAAAAAAGATGAAAACTGAATGAAAGATCCCGTCGATCGATAACATAGGAAAGGGCGCTCCAGCGATAAATCGTAAAGTGGAACATCGTACTTTACATTTGGAAAATGAATTTTTTTGTCGTTTTTCATTTTTTCATCATTTTTACATTGTTTTCAGTTTTTATGCACCTCTCAACCGTGCTCAACGGAGAAGGGCCGTTTGAGCCTCCAACTGCGTACAGACATCGATCCAGTACAGAAACCGAGACTCCCAAACGACGTGTTCCCATTCTGGCGACTTTCGTCCACTCATTTCGATGAGGATCGTACCTAAATTGATTATATTCAAGTTTTTCGGACTTTATAGTTTTTTTTAGGTGTTTAAAGGCGCAGGTTAAGGTCCTATAACGAATTCTTTTCACTGCATTTTCGTAATGGCAATATTACAGCAGGGAGAAAAAGACCACTAGGTCAATTTTTTAATTTTTGATGAGTAAAAAAAGAAACATAGAACCACATAAAGTTGTTATTTTACAAAAATTCCACGTTGGTCACTGAAAAAAATTACTTTGACATATTTTCCAGGGTGATCAATCAAAAAAATGTCACGGAACTGTAAAAAAATCAATCACTTCCATTTCTATAGTTAAAATAAGGCGATTTTTTGAATAAAAATTTTTTTTTGATTTTTTGAGTATGCAAGTTAGCGACTGTGTATGCACCAAACACATCAAATATTACGAAAATTGTGGGCGGGGCGTCGTAAAAATAACGCCGTGAAGACAAAGAGCTTTTTGACGGCTAGAAAAACGCGAAAAATTGCTAAACGCTTCAAGACCTTCATGAGATCAGCCCATGCGCCTTTAAATCTGCCAGGAAGGAATTTTCAGTTAAGTGATCATTTGAGAGCGCACTTAAGTGACCATTCTCTCGAGAAACGTCCGGTTTGGGTTACCAGTTTTTGAGCAGTTAATTAGTTCATTGACGGTCAAAAAAACTTGAATAAACGTGAGAATGAACCGTTCAACGACGTCCAGACAGCTATCGCCGTCCTGGCCACCCACGGCGTACAGAAATCCGTTCAGAGCGGCAACACCGACTGAAGTTCTACAAGTGGCTGTCGGAGCAACGTCAGAACTCCATTGATCTGTCACCGGGTCGTATCTGAGGAATTTATTTCAAAATATTCACAATACCCACAACTTTTGAATTTTTTGTATATAGGTTGTTCCGCGCTAGCTTGTCATGATTTTCGTTTTGCTCCAAGCTACAGAAGCATTCACTTCGATGCGCGCGATACTTATCTCTGTCTGCGCCTTTAAAATAACGGAAATTTTCGGCCAAAATTAAAGGCGCATGAAGAGAAACATCCCGTAATGGCCTATAGGCTATAGCCGATTCACGGCTGTTTTACGCAAAAATGCGTGCCCTCTTTTTTCAATCGTGCCAGGACCCTTTTTCTATACAGCTAGGCTTTTTTTGCACCACGCTACAGAGACCTTCTCTTCGAAACGCTCGACCGATTTATATACATGCGCCTTTAATAGAACGGAATTTTCAAGCCTAATTTAAAGGCGCATGGACAGTGATCGGCCATGCGTTTCGAAAAAGGGTTTCTGCACTCTCCACCCAACAGGCACTATTTCTTTTTTTTCGTGCCAGGACCCTTTTGCTATGTTTCACGATGCTACAGAGACCTTCTCTTCGAAACGCTGGGCCTTTTCATGTACATACGCCTTAAAAAAAAAACGAAACTTTCAAGCCTAATTTAAAGGCGCATGGACAGAAATCGGCCATGCCTTTCAAAAAAAGTGTTCTTCAGCAGAAAAAAAAAAGTAGAAAATATGTTTTTTGAAATATTTAATCGAGCAAAATCAACTGAAGTTGAGTTAATATTTCGAAATATATTTGAGATTAAACTTTAAAAATCACCTCTCAATGCTGTTCAAATAGGATTGTCCATCGTGGCCGCCGATGGCATAGAGTAAATTGCCGAGGACGGCGACACCAACGCCGCATCTGAACAGGATATTACTGTTCTACAAAAGCTTCAAAGTAATTGGTTCTTTCTCTTTCCTATTGATTAGATGTCTTGATTTTGTAATTTCAACAAGAAGGAGCGGATTTGAATTAGACGACGAAAAGGAAAAGTTAAAAAAGGGTGATAATATGATAGAAAAGTCAATTTTCGAACTGGTTTATTCAATTTCAAGGAAAAAGTCAATTTTTGTATTTCGCAGTGGAAGAAAATGCAAAACCAAAAAAACGGTGGGCGGAGTCAAAACCTACGCCGTTCCCACGTGACGTCATTGAAACGGTAACAAGGCATATCAAAGGCGCAGGCGGCCATATTGCCAGAGGTGTTTTGAGACGAATCCGATTCTCACTAGATGGACGCGAAATTTTCTGCGCGAGAGCGCCGCAGTGCATGCACACGACACACGAAACTTTACGGAGAAAAAACGTCGTGATTTTTTTTTTTCACCTTCTCTTGCTCATCGGCGCCACACAGGTCCAGACCGGAATTTGTCGGTTCGGATCATGTCTTTCGATGGAAGCGATCGCGTCTCCGCTGCACCAACCACCCACTGAAAAGAAAATTATACTCCAAAAGAAAAAAACCAAGTTCAGTGTCAATTTTTAAGCCCCCATTGGGGGTAAGATATAGGGGAATTTCGGTTTTGATGTTGTGGGGGGGTGAATTTCTTGGGCGGATCCGGACAATGCTTGTTTCAAGGTTTACGGGGGGAGGGAGCAGTTCTAGAATAAGATATAGCTGCCCCCCAATCAAAAATTTGTCTTGTTGGGGGCTGTATAGCCGGCCATGGGGGGGGTTCTGGAATGTTGGGGTCTGATCCGGAAAAGGGGTAATTTTTGAAGACCCCCTAGTTAGCACTATGGGGGAGGGAGCAGTTCTAGAATAAGGTATAGCTGCCCGCAGCCCTAATCAAAAAAACACCCAAGTGCCTTTGGATCCACCCCCCAATCAAAAATTTGTTGGGGGCTGTATAGCCGACCATGGGGGGCGGGGGGGGCGGTCTGGAATGTTACAATGCTTGTTCTAAAATTGAAAAGGGGAGGGGGTTCTAGATTAAGATAGAGCGCCGCCGCCCCCCTCTCAAGTTTTTTTCTGAAACCCCAACCTGCAAACAGGATTTCCCCGAGTTTCAACGGTTTCCTCGGCCTTGTCCTTGGTCCTTGCATATTTGGCCTTTCGACAGGTAACAAAAGGTAATTCTGGAATAAAAAATCAATTTTTTGAATTGAAATAAGGGAAACTTTGGCCTCGTCGACGAGATCCCGACTGGCCGCATCGGATTTGACCAGAATATCTTCGCTAACTGTGCTGACCAGGAATTTCGCCGTGCATAATGGAAGGCGAACATGTTGAAGTAACTGAAAAGTTTTGAAAATAGCCTTGGAGCGCGCTTGCTGCTTTTTTCAAAACTTTTCCTTTTTTTCCAGGTTTTTTTTTGTTCCTCTCTCTCAGTCAATTTTTCTGTAATGCGGGACTTACAATTTCGTAAACTAGCGCATAGGAAACGTGGTTCCGTCCGATTTAACATGTTAGCTCAGAAGCTATAAGACTACAAAATTATTGGGAAATTTCAAAATTTTGGCTTTTTAATTATTTCTTTTTGTGAATATGCTGTTATATGTTGACTAAAAACAATAATCTAATGTATAAATAAGCAATTATTCGTTTTTTTCTTTTTCTGGCTTCAAAAAAATTTTTTTCGTTTATTTGAAAGTTATGAAAAATATTGGCAGTATGTTCATTTTCGTCAGCGGTAAATGCACAAGAAACATTTTATTTGACGACTTTTTTATAGGTGGGGCGTAGCTCTGGAAACGCCGTAAAAAGGATCGATTAATCACGGAATTCTTCAAGAATCCTAACGAAAAGACTTTAATTAAGGAAATGGATACTTTTTACTAAAGAAAAAAATCTCGATTTTTCAGAAAATTTATAGAAAAATCATCTGTAAAAATCAATAAGACCTCTGATGGTTTTTGATAAAAATTGAATCGATTTTTTTTTAATGTAAGGAAGACACAGAAAAGCCTCGAATCGAGAAAAGGGACACATTTTTCTACAGTGCAATTTTTGTTTTTGGGACAAACCAACTATAAAACTCAATAGAAAAGATTCTCCGAAATTTTTTTTTATTGAAAATTCAATCGCTTCATATCTTCCATGAGCTAAAAATGAATATAACTGACAACTATCCAAAAAAAAAACCCTGAACGGAAAAAAGGGACAAGCTTTCCCACAGCAAAACCCTGTTTTTTTGATAATTTGAAGAAAAATTAACTATAAAACACAATAAGAAGTTGAAGGAAATCCATAGGCTTTTATAAAATTTCAATCGATCAATCACTACTTCAAGTAAAAATGATAAATCTTAAGTAAGAAAAAAGTGTTTAAAAAAAGGTATAGGTTAATCTTCAATAAAATGTCGATTTTTTAAAACGAATCAACTTAAAAAAATACGACGTCAAAAAAATCCGTAGGTATTTAAAAATTCAATCAATATAAATAATAAATTTTCCCAAAAAAATTCTTGACTTGAGAAAAAGGGACACAATTTTCTAAAGCAAAAAAATCGATTTTTGGAGCAATCTGAAGGAAATTTAACTATAAAAACCAACTAAATCTTGAAGAAAATCTAAAAAAATCTGTTGGCCAAACTATAAAGTAACAAATACTTCAAGTGATCACTTTAGGGGCTAGAATCTGCTTTTTGATATTCAACATAGAAATTTTTGAAAGAAAAACGAAAAAATAGCGAAAATTGCGGTGTAAAAGGTGGAAATAGTTGCATACAAAAATGAACCACAAGATTTTCAGAGCTCCAAAAATATTTTTTTCATAAGCGATCAATCTAAAAAAATTTTTCCTTTATACGATGGAGAAAAATTGAGTTTAAATCCCGACAAAAAGGTATAAAAATAACCGAAAAACTATTGAAAAATTTAATTTTTGATTTTTTTGGAAGTTTAAAAAAATTCCTGGAAACCAATTTTTTTAAAAAGCTTTGACTTGAAAAAAAGAAAAATTGCATTTTTTTCTTCAGTAAAAATCTCGATTTTTTTGTGACAAACCAACTAAAATTTACTATAATTTTTTTAGATTTTTTTGGAAGTTTAATTATAGGTTTTTTTCTACTACGGTTGATTTCATAATAAAAATCCATCAAAAATCGGAAATTTTTTTCTCACCTCGGACAAATATTTTTTCCTGGAAGCCATGTCCGCTCGGACCCATTGCATTACGGCGGAAAATACCTGGAAAATTCCGTTTTTTTTCGGTAAAAATTAAGAAAGAACCATTTCCTCAGAAGTCGCGTTGAGTTTATCACTGGCGATAATTTCCATTAATAAATCGACGGGTAACATTAGAAACTCTTCGGTTCCCACGACGCTCTGAACGAAAATCTTTCAGATTTTCGCAAGGAAATTGATAAAAATCACCGAGAAATTTTTCAAAGTATAATTATCGGCACTGGACATGAGTTCTCGACATGCTAGGGTGTCGGCGAATGCCCGGATTCCGAGGCAATTCGACGGGTCCAGCTGCTTTTTCAGGTATTCACAGCAAGCCGTCTGGAATCGTTTCCTTATTTGGAAATTTGGTTCATAGAAATTTCCGTAATGATCAAAACTATCTCTGACCCTCCAAAATCTAGTCATTTTTCTCATTCTCTGACGGCTATTTCGAAAAATAAGTGGCTAAGTGGTCCCTAAAGTGATTAAAGTGTCCCTGGAGAGGTCCCTAGAAATGCCACGACTAGTCCTGAGCTTTTTGAACGAGGCAAAACGTTGAAAATCGAAATTGTCTCTGACCCTCCAAAAATGAGTTATATTTTTCATTCTCTGACGACTATTACGAACAAGAAGTGATAAAGTGGTCACTAAAGTGGTCCCTAGAAATGATCCGACTAGTCCGATTCGCGTTACCAAGAAATTAAAAAAAATTTTCGGACGAAAATTGCGTTAAAATAATAAAAAAATACTCTTTTTTTCTTGAAAAAAATTATGATTTTTTTTGGAACATAATTGACAAATACGGTCAAAAAAACAACAATTTTTTTCTCAACTAGGGGCAATTTTTTTCGGATTTTTGAGGCGTTTTTTTCGTAATTGCTATCACAGAAAAAAATCTCCAAACTCAAAAATAAAAAAAAAAGTTTTTTACGCAAATTTTTTTAGGAGTACGTTCTTTCAATTTGAGGACTTTTTCCCGTGAAAAAAACCGGAGAGTAACAATTTTCAAGGGTTCACTATAGGGATATAAATTTAACTCAAATGTACACCAAAATGTGCGACGAAAGTTTTTTTAAATAAAAAAATGATATTGAGACGTTTTTTTAATGAACAAATTTCGTGAAGAATCCAATTTTAAACCAAAAAAATCTTCGTCTTTTTTTCGCTTAATTTCGAGAAAATGCTCCGTTTTCATGTTTTAAAATGCTCATTTTTTCTTCTCATATCTTTGAAATACTTCAAAAATTGCTTTAAACTAGCAAAAATATGCAAAAAACAATACAAGGATGATACAGATTAAAAAATCAAGGAAACCCCGACCTGAACTTCCGAAAGTTGTAACAAACAAGCAGCCGCCAGGATATTCTGTACATTTAGTTCAGTGATTTCCAATTCCCCCGTATAACAAAATCCAACAATCGATTCCATCGTCTGGGGGTCGACTTCATGGATTTGAACTTCTCCTGAATATTAAAAATATTCCAGAGGATTTTCTGAATTTTCCTCTCACTCGAATGACACTCGACCATTCTGGAAGTGAACATCCCGTGAAAATATCCAGAACATGCCGCCAAAACCAATCGATGGGCGTTTATACGTTGTTCAGCCACAACCTGAAGTAAATTTCCACATTTCAAAACCATTTCCCGCTTGGAAATCACCAAAACAACGTCAGTAAGGACGTCCTGCTGGCGCAAATCGTTCAAATGTGTTAATAATGTACAGCCGAACCGCGCATTCTGAAAAATTAACTATTTAAAAATTAAATCACAAAAAATACAGCAAGAAACCCTATAAGTATAATGTGAAGACGTTGAGGCGATCGATGGAAGGCTTGATAATCGACGGTCCAATGGATTTTGCAAGCTCATCGAGGAAAAACTAGTATATTTCCGAAGAAAAGTTGTTGAAGTTGAAAATAAAGATGTCCTTTTCGCTTTGAATTCACTGAAAAAAACCTTATTCATATCAAAAAAATATAAGAAAAAAATCTGCAAAAATAAACGGAAAAAAACGGGAAATTATTGGCAAGTTTTTCATGTAAAACTTTCGGAAAAAAATTTTTTTGTTCTTAAGAGCTGAAAAAAATTAAGAAAAATCGTTCTTTTTTTCTCTAAAAAAATTGATGAAGAACAGTAAAAAAATCTAGAAAAATTAAGATATTATTGAAAAAAATTGAAAAAAAGAAAAAAATTTACAGGGAAAAAAACACTGTTTGCGCGTCAAGATGCGCTTGCGGCTTTTTCTGACTACCGTATGACAGATCGACAAAAATACTGAAGTTTTCCAAAAAAAAGCCGTTTCATTCTTATTTTTCTCATTAAAGTTTAATGATTTGAACTGATGAGAACTGAGCCCTTATTAAATCAAGCTGAAAAATTCAATTTAATTTCTATATTTTTTTCCTCTATTCTTGCGTTGAACCCTCTTTATCAAAAAAATCATAAATTCCGCTCTTTTTAACTATACATTTGTCTCAACTTTCAATTTTTAATAATCTCAAAACCATATTTTGCCCGTACCGATGTGCTTGCGGCAATTCCAAATACAGTAACCCAAATATTCGTCAAATTTTGATTTTTTTAAATTAATTTTTTCTGTCATTTCTTTCACAAATAAATATGAAATTCAACATTTTCTCTTTTCACGATCGCAACAACTCGAAAATTGAACAGAAAGTTTTATCACCTGTTGGAATCTCTTCAGTGCCAAGAGGGCGAACGAAAAAAGAACAAAAAGATTAATACAAAAAGCGAGAAAAAAGGATAATGAGGGGGGAAAAAAAAAATGATGAGCCGACAAAAAAAGCAGCCACCCGTGCCGTACCGCCGTCGCAGGTGCCAATTTTTTCATTTCTTCAATTTTTCACATTTTTCCCTTGAGGGGGGTCATATATTATCAGACAATCACAAGATCGAAATGAGCGTTTTTCTCCAACAAAAAAAAAAAGGAAAACACGAAATTACACAAACAAATACTACAGGATAAAACGGGAAATTAGGCAATCAAAAAGATGGGAAAAAAAAGATTCCAGGCCAAGAACCGGGACACAATTTTCGCGTTGCGATGCTCCACTTGACAGTGAAATTTCAGAAAACAAAAATATTTTACACGTTTCTCAGAAGACCCGGATGTGAAAATTTGAAAAAATAGATATCTCAATAATAAATAGCCATTGTGGGGAGAGGTAAAATGCGAAAAATCGGGTTGGTCTCAACAGAAGAAAAAGGTGTGGAAAAATTACAAAATCCCGCTTCAAAAATCCCAGATTACGATATAAGACAATCTACCGACATATGGAGATAATACTGTAGGCGAAATAAATTATTAGAAGTGGAAAAAAAATATACACATAGAGGACAATCAGAACAAGAAGATATTGAGAAATACAGGCCATTTTTGATGATGAAACATTTGATTTTATTCGAACGGGAACGAGATCGCGGGGAGAATAAAATTGAAAAGGTGCCTTGAAAATTAAGAAAACCCGTTGGGATTCGAAAAAAAGGGGAAAATCCAGAAAATTGGTGAATTTCTCAGGCGACGGCGGTCATCGCCCCCTTGTCATGTGCCTCGGAAATCTTGACGTTGTCAATTTTTCCGTTCTTTTTCTCGTAGCCATTCTGAAGACAGGACCGTTTGCTCGGCGGCGAGTTCGACTTCTGAAAATTCAAATTTCGATTAAAAAATATTTTTTCCATTATTCCCCTTAAAAAAAAAAACGATTATCAACTTTCAAATTTACTGTATCTTTCAAGAAAATCATTACTATTCATACAATTTTATCAAAAAAAAAAAAAAAAATGAAAAAAATCCCCAAAAATTTGAGCCTACCGAAAATGCAGCACATATGTGCTCTACGGATAAAACTTTCAAAATCGGATTTTTCCAATATTAGTTGAGGTAATATTACACTTATCCCACATAAATGACAGCTAAAAATTTAATTTTTCTGAAAAAAAAAACGAAAATTGAAAGATTGTCCATAGAGCGCACATTCCCTCAAGGAGACAAAATCAAAAATTTTCAAAAAAAAAAGTTCATTTTTTCAGTTTCATATGTCAACTAGCGGCTTCAAATACCATCGACTTCTGATTTTTTCAAAAAAACTATTTTATTTATGACTTTTTTTCCTACTCATTTTCTCCTGAATCAAGCTTCTTCCCTTCCCAAGGGTCCTTAGAATAGGAAAAAAAAAATCGTTAGCCAATAAAGCTTCAATTTTTGGTGTACCTAACCATATACCATAATTTTAGCCCACTAAACTCCCAAAAAAACCACCAACCTCTTCACTATTGTGTCGTTTGTTGGACCTCTTCTCGTTTCCATTGACAAGAGATCCATTGGTCGTCGAATGGACGCCAGAATCCCCATTCGTGTTGCAATTCGTGGTGACGTCACTTATCGACGTCTTCACATCTTTCTCCGCCGTCGACGTCGTCGCCACGGAGGAGCAACTCGCTTCGGCGTCTTCCGCCAACAATTCTTCCGGCTCTTTTTTCACCGCGTCAGAATCTGTAACATATATCGACCATTTTCGGGCAAAAATACACTGTATTTCTGAAAAACTCGGACCCCGGGGTAGTTGGTCGTCCCTAAGTGGTCACTCAAGGGAAAAATAACTCCATTCACTCCTCTTTAATGATCCCTGAGAGCTCAGACCTCGTGGGAGACAAATGGAACAGTTGGTCTTCTTTGAGTGGTCACTAAAGTGAGGAAAAATTCCCTAGAGGGGCCACTTAGGCCTCTATAATGATCACTTGAGGAGAGCAACTACTCCATTTGTCCTCCGAGAAAAAGTGTCCTAGAGTGATCACTTAAAACTCTTTGATGATAATTTAAAGAGGACCTACTATTCCGCATGTCTTCCGAAGAAAAAAAACCCTACAGTGACCACTTAGGCCTCCAAAAAGATCCTTCGAGGATGTCAAACTGATCCATTTGTCTTCTTGGTAAAAATTACCCTAGAGTGATCACTTAAGACTCTCTAATGATCCCTTAACCCTGAAGTATCAGGAAAAAAAAATGCAAAGAGGGCGCGGTTTTCTTGCAAAGGGGGCAGAGTTCTCATCGAAGTTAGATCTATCATTTTTTGATTTTTTTTTTTTAAACCAACCAGTTTCCGAGCTTCTCACTGCGTTCGGCGTCACGTTCGCCTCGTCGTCGCCGTTTCGTTTCGCGATTTCTTGCATTTCGAACAACGTATCGGCGATCATTCCAGCGACTCGGGAGTCCATCTGTAAAATTTTTAACTATGAAAAATTCATCAGAATTGAGTTGAAAGATTCCAAATTTCCTCCATGGAGAGCTTCTTCGAACGTAGGAATTGATGAATTTTGAAGAACCGTTTTTAAAAATTCAAACTTTTCCCTTTTAAGTGACCTCTTAAACTTTCCTCAGCGCTATATTTGAGAAATGGACCTCAAAAAAGCTTCAGAAACACTAAAATGACCACTTTATGAATCACGTTGGCGGGCAACCTTCTTCAATCCTTTCATTCTTGGCTCAGCCGGTAGAGCCTTCGATCTCCAATTTTAGGGTCAAGGGATCGACTCCTCTGGGCGCTTTGATTTTTGCAATTTTTTCAAAGTCCACTGACTCTTTAGGTATACATTTTTTGAAGAGGAACAGCTGATCAGAAAGAAAAAAAATGTCTTATTTCTCAAATTTTCCACAGAAAATCCTATTTTTCTTGAAAAAATCGCATACGAATCTCAAAACCATTCAACTAACTCATGGTAAATTCCGAAAAAGGCCATTTTTCTCAAATTTTCAACAAAAATTCTGATTTTTTGTCCAAAAAGTCGCATAAAAGTCCCAAAACCATTCAACTAACTCATGGTACATTCCAAAAAAGGCCATTTTCCCCAAATTTTCAACAAAAACTCCTATTTTTCCTCAAAAAATCGTATATAAATCTCAAAACCATCCAGGTAACTCATGGTTTATTCCAAAAAATGACATTTTTCTCATATTTTCGACTAAAACCATGAATTTTTTCTTGAAAAGTCGCACAAAATCTCTAAAATCAACCAGCTTACCTAAGCAAAATTGCAAAAAATGCCCTTTTCCTCGAATTTTCTCATAAAAACCCTATAAAAAGATCCAAAAACGAACCAGCTGACTCATGGTGAACTGCAGGAGGCGATGCTGATGCTTGATGTAGAACTTGTAGGCGCCGGGGACCTTGATGAGCATCCGGAGCATGGAGGCGGCTCGGCGGAGCATGCCGACGGAGGTGCCCATCATTTCGGGCGAGTCGCGGAGGGCGGCCATCCCGTGGGTCTGCATCACGCCGTGCATGTTCTGGTCGGCCGTGTCGATGAAGTGAACGAGGGTGGCGATGGTTTGCGTGTCGTTGGCCGCCACGAAGCACGCCGCCTCGCTCGCCAGACACAAGGCGTTCAGCACCACGATCGCGAACTCACTGAAAATGTTCGAAGAATGAGTTTGAGGTAGGAACTGAGAAGCTTCTGCTTTCGGTTGTGAAGCCTTTTTTCTGGCAAAGTCGGAATAGTGGATGAGGCTCAAAAAGGCTACAAAAAAGGCCGCAAAAAGGTCGCAAAAAGGCCGCAAATCGGCTGCAAAAAAGCCGCAAAAAGGCTGCAAAAAGGCCGCAAAAAGGCTGCAGAAAGGCTGCAAAAGGTCTTTTACTTTCTGGGACGTATCGAGAAATGGTGGAACAGGGAAAGGCAGCAAAAATGGTGCATAAGGGCCAATGAAAAGGTGCAGAAAGGCCGCAAAAAGGAGCCTTCAACACCCTTAAAGGAACATCTATATGGAGCCTTTTTCCACCTTTTCCGACTTTGCCTATGCCAGCAAGAAGTCAAAAGCTTCCCTTATAGCTTTTCAAAACCTCTAGTTATCCTTCAGATGCTTTCTGAAAGCCCTTTAGAAGCCATTTTCAAGTTTATACCTTCCAACTATCTTCTGAAGTTCCTCGGAAGGCGTTTAGAGCTTTTCAAAACCTCTACTTATCCTCTAGAGACCTGCTGAAAGTCTTCTTGCAGGCTTCTAGCGGCCATTTTCAATTATTCACCTTCCAAGGACCTTCTGAAGCTCCTCGGAAGGCGTTTGGAAACTTTTCAGCAACGCCTTACACATACGTAGCTTCACAAAAGCCTCTATTCATTCTCTAGAGACTTGCTGAAAGGCTTCTTGCAGGCTTCTAGCGGCTATTTTCAATTATTCTCCTTCCAAGGACCTTCTGAAGCTCCTCAAAGGCGTTTGGAAGCTTTTCAGAACCTCTACTTATCCTCTAGAGACCTGCTGAAAGGCTTCCTACAGGCTTCTGGCAGGTATTTTTAATTTTTTACCTCCCAAAAACCTTCTGAAGCTCCTCGGAAGGCGTTTAGAGCTTTTCAGAACCTCTACTTATCCTCTAGAGACCTGCTGAAAGGCTTCCTACAGGCTTCTGGCAGGTATTTTTAATTTTTTACCTCCCAAAAACCTTCTGAAGCTCCTCGGAAGGCGTTTAGAGCTTTTCAGAACTTCTATTCATTCTCTAGGAGCCTGCTGAAAGGCTTCTTGCAGGCTTCTGGCAGCCAGTTTCAAGTTTTACCTTCCAAGGACCTTCTGGAGTTCCTCGGAAGGCGTTTGGAAGCTTTTCAGAACCTCTACTTATCCTCTAGAGACCTGCTGGAAGCCTTCTTGCAGGCTTCTGAGAGCCAGTTTTAAGTTTTTACCTTCCAAGGACCTTCTATTTATGAAAAAAATATAAAAATAAAAAAATAAAGATTCCGCTGTTTTGAAAAAAATTTTCAGTACAAAAATGAAAAATTCGACCTTTTTCAAGTTTCTTTTCAAAAATTACACGACTATATGGGTAAATTTGAGCTCTTCCATAATTTTAAGTGATTTTAAAAACTCCTTGCATACGAAACGCACTAAAATAGGTACCTTAGGCTTTTAGAAATGAAACGTGAAACGTGAAATGAAAATAATGAAGGAAAACATCTTCAACAGCCAATTTCCCTCATAAAAACTGAATTTTCCTCTCAAAACCCACCGATAATGAGTCTCCTCGTTCATGGAGAGCTGCCGGGACAACAGATGGATCAATTTCTCGATTCTTGGCCAGGCGCCAGTCGAAAGAAGCATGTCCACGTTCCGCTCGACGACCGACATCTTGCACAAAAACTTCCAGGGCGTAGCTTCTAAAGGAAAAAAATAATTATTTATTGGGAAAAAAATCGTCAAAATATCAAGTATTTCCTTCAAGACCAATCTATCAAAAAAGTTGAAGCCACAGAGGTTTTCAGAGATTTACATCGTTATTGAATATTCAAATATTCTCAAAAAGGCCAGAAATATTGAAAAATACAAAATTCGCTTTGAAAGAAACATATAAAACCCTAAAAATTACCGGAAAAACGAAAAATGTTGAGAAATACTGTATCAAGCTTGAAAATTGTTTAAAATAGGTCCCGGAGCTTCATGAAACTTCATAAAAAAGGAAAATACTCATTAAAAGCTTTTAGAACTTTTTAGGGCTCTAAAATCAATCAAATTCGCTGGAAAAAAATTTATTAAAGCTTCAAAATTATGAAAATGCACAAAAGACCTCAAAACCCTGTCTAGAAGCTTCAAACAGTTCAAAAAATAAACATAATCATTAAAAAACCTCAAAAAAGCCTTAAAAATGGTTTTTTCAACTTGAAAGAGAGTAAAAACCTACCAAAACTCTGAAAAATTGAAAAAAAGAAGGCTCTTGAGAGGTCCCCTTTATGTAGGGACCGCAAAGCCACGCCCCTTTTCGCGATAGAAAAAGTGGCTTTTTTTTGGTGTTCAACTTTCATTTTGCTGTAGTTGCAAAATATGTGGAACTGGATAATAAATTTTGGCACACATGTACAAAAAAAGCTTCCTCTTTCGTTTAAAAAAATATTTCACGCTTTTTTTGATGCGTTCGCGCGGAATGTCGTACAAAAAAACGTGAATGGAACTAAAAAAATTTTTGTCGTTTTTTTGCTTTTTCATGTGTTTTTCAGGTCGAACGCACTCTTTCTTTTTTTAAATAATGATTTTGATTCAAGTAACGGTAATTTTAAAAACAATAAAAATAAAAAAATTCGTCTTTGCCAAAAAAATTTTTAGGGAGTGCCGAAAGTCATAATTCAAAAATATCGTTAATAAGCGAATATAATCGAGTTTTTTTGTTTTTTTCAAAATTTAGACCATGGGCTTACTTAAATTTTTTTCTCCACAGCATATGTGCTTGAAAAAAAGTTTTTTTGATACGCAAAAAAATGCTCTTGAAAATAGAGAATAAAATTAGCGGCGTTTATCACACAGAAAAACGGTCGAACGCAGGTTTTTTTAAACGATTATATAAAGTTTATTAGTAAAAAAATCTTTCAATTAAAAAGAATAAAATAAAAAAATTCGTCTTTGCCAAAAAAATTTACGGGGGCCGTTTTTAAGGCAGCGATCGTTAAACGAGGCCAAAAAGCACTAAAAAAACAGTTTTTTTCCGAAGTGAATATCCACGGAAAGATTGAGTAAAGATTTGCGAATATATTCTGATAAAAAAATAGCTAAATTACTTCAAGTTTTTTTCTTTTTGAAATAGGCAATCTGTGCTATTCAAACGGCTCAAGGGTATGGCGGATGGAAGCTCCCTTCGCTAGACCTAACAGCTTGGCGCAGCGCGTGCGCTGCGATTCTTCATTTTGAGGTCGCGAGTTCGATGCCCGCAAGCGTCAGTTTTTTTGTTTTTCTGGAAAAATACCGACTTTTTTTCGGCAAACTAGCTGATTAGCATTATTTTAGCACTCTATTATGATTTGTTACATCATAATAGACCAGTATCAAAACTTTTTCTGGAAGAAAAATCGAGAAAAATGTCAAAAATGGATAATACCAAAATTTCAGTACTAAAAAAATGGTGCGCGGCGCGCCACATTTTTCGTCATAACTTTTTTCATCCTCAATCTTTTTTGAAAAACTAAACGGTTCTGAGTTTTGAATCGAAACAGCTATCAAACCATACAAAGCTCAATGCTGAAAAATTTTTTTTGAAAATTCGTCTGCGGTCCCTACCTTTATGGACCACTTTACCCACCCCTATAGGGTTCACTTAAGCTTGCAAAAGTGGTCCTTATAGGGGAAATGATGGTCGATAATTGTTATAAACTCTGAGCGAAAAAAAAATAATTAAGCGTTTGGATGAAGTTGAGAGACCCCTATAGGGGCCACTTAAGCTTTAGGGGCAAAGGGTCCGACGCAAAACCCTGTAGGGACCTCTTTTTCGGCCCTTATGGGGGCTGTTTGTCCCCCTAACCCCTATAGGGGCCACTCTGGGATTCCTAAGTCAATTACCTCGGTGAAATAGCAGCTGGGAGGCTGACGTCCGTCGCTTCAGGAACCGAAGAGACGCACCAATGAAGCAGGCCGTCGTAGATCGGGAAAGCGATGTCGTCAGGCAGATCGAACAGGTCCAGCTGAAAACGAGTATCTCTCCAATTATTGTTGAAAGGAATATTCCTTTCAAATCAAAGCTCAAACTTACAGTATGATCCTTTAAATCACGATTAAAAATTACAGTATGCTCCTTCTACATATAAATTCAACCTTAAAGTACGCTCCTTTCGAATCTAAGCTCAAACTTATAATGTACGACGTTAAATCAAGATTACAGTATACCCTTCTGAATCACAATTCAAACTTACAGTATACTCCTACTTGATCTTAACTCTATCTTACAGTAAGATCAAATTTCAAACTTACAGTAGGATCCTTCCAAAAACAGTAGGACCCCTTTTAAATCAACATTCAAACTTACAGTATACCCCTTTAAATCACGATTCAAACTTACAGTATGCTCCTGCTGAATCTCAACTCAATTTTACAGTAAGATCAATATTCAAACTTACAGTATGCCCCTTCTAAAACACGATTCAAACTTACAGTATACTCCTACTTTATCTTAATTATATCTTACAGTACGATCAAATTTCAAACTTACAGTATGCTCCTTCTACATATAAATTCAATCTTACAGTAGGAACAAAAATTCAAACTTACAGTATGCTCCTTTCAAATCCAAGCTCAAACTCACAGTATTCTCCTTCTGTATATAAATTCAATCTTACAGTAGGATCGAAATTCAGACTTACAGTATGCTCCTTCAAATCACGATTCAAAATTACAGTATGCTCCTTCAAATACGATTCAAAACTACAGTATGCTTCTTTAAATCACGATTCAAACTTACAGTATGCTCCTTCTACATATAAATTCAACCTTACAGTAGGATCAAAATCCAAAATTACAGTACACTCCTTTCAAATTCAAGCTCAAACTTACAGTATGCTCCTACCTAATCTTAACTCAATCTTACAGTAGGAACAAAATTGAAACTTACAGTATGCTCCTTTCAAATCAAAAAACTCAAGCTTACAGTGGCGCTCATGTGGGTGAGCATGACGAAGGCGTCGTCCCGGAGTTGATGAACAGTTTCGACGAGGAGAAGCCGTCTGGAGTCGTCGTCGTCGAGAACTTCCATCGATTTCGCATGCTGCTCTTCGACGGACTCGATTTGCTGGGGTTTCTTCAGGACTTCCTGGAAAAATTAATATTCAAAAAGTCTTTAATATTTCCTTTCAAGGACAATTTTGAAGGAAACTAGTCGCCCTTAAAATGAATCATACTGACATCGCTCAAGTGACCACTTAAGGGTCAGAAACGCGAAATCCGCACTATTTAGTTATCCCTTAAGAGATGTGCAAGACATGTTAACTTTTGAGTAACAACCGTTTTCCCATACTGAAAAACAGGTAAATTCTAAAATCTGCCAAAAAAAAAAAATGGAACCGCATTTGGAATGGCTGTGATTAACGAAAATTCATTTTGAAGGATCCCACTCAAATTTTTCGCCTGTAAGAACTTCTAGACACTATAGAGGCTACTCAAACTATTCGAGATGTAAGTGAGCCCTTCAGTGGGAAAGAAGCCTCGTTTTAGGTTCCAGACCGCTTAGGAAAACCAAGTGGTCCCTCTAGTGCACTTTCTAAGAGCTTCCAAGCCAAAATTCAATCTCAAAAAGCTTTTTCGATACAAACTCACACGTAAAAGCAATCTTGGAACATTGACAAAGTGGTCCCTTAAGTGTTCTTCTGAAAAAAGATCTTGTTTGGAAGCCAAGTGGTCTTTCTAGTGCACTTTTTAGTAGCTTCCAAGCCAAAATTCAATCTCAAAAAGCTTTTTCGATGCAAATTCACTCGTAAAGGCATCTCGGAACTTTGAAAAAGTGGCCCCTCAAGTGCTCTTCTGAAAAAAGATCTCTAGCCATTCCAAATGCGACCAAAAACTTCAAAAAACCCTTAAATTTCACGAAAAGACATGAAAAGAAAAACTTTATAAGCTTTCCAGTCTACTCCTACATACTCTTTACACGAGAAATCCGAAAAAAGGTCAAAAAAACCCACGGGATCCAGTGAAACACATCGTTTCTGAGCCTTGATGAGCTGCTCCTCGGCGAAGAGGGTCAGGAACCTGCCGACGATGTAGAGCAGGGCGTTGTGTTTGCCCATGAGCTGCTCGCTGCCGGGGACGAAGGAGAAGCCGCGGAGGATGTTGGACAGGGAGAGGGCCCGGTTGGCGAGCTCGTTCAACGCCGGCTCCTTGCTCGTCAAGGCTGTGGATCGGGGCCAGGAGAGCTCGCGCTCGTGCTTGCAGTCGGACAGCTCTTCCGGCTTTGCGCCTCGTATTGAGAGGGTTTCCGAGTTCTGCAAGAGGATTTTTACAAGTTACTCAAAACTTCAAACTTGGCCCTTGGTTTTTGAAGAATCAACTTTCTTTTTGAAGAAAGTTCTAAAAGAAGATTTTCATCACATTTTTTGAAGGAAAACCTTTTTGGATAAAAAAATAAACCATAAACTTCTGATATATGAAGAAAATGCGTGAGGAAAGTGAATTTTATAAAGATTTTCAGATCCTCAAACTTGGCTCTAGGTTTTTGAAGAATTTCCAAGTTCTAGAAGAAGATTTTCATCACATTTTGTAAAGGAAAAAAATCTCTTAAACCAATATTATGAATTAAAAAAATATATATATATATATAAATTAAAAAAAGCGATTTTCGTACTGAACGTTACTTCAAAAAAAGCATGAAATATGAATAAACTGTTAGAAAAAGATAATCAAATTTTTGTACATTTTCTCCGTTTTTTTCTGATCCAATTCAGGAACGATTTTAAAAACCTTCATATCGCAAAAAATTTTTTTCGATCAAATATAATATAGTAAAAAAATAACAAAAAAATAAAAGTTCAAATTTCTCATTGAAACAGTAGATTCATCGACGCGGTTTTTTTAAGGTTTTTTTACGAAAAAGTGAAAAAAATTACACGTGACATAATACAGAAAAAAATCGATGAATGAATTTTTTTATATTCTCATTGAAACAGTAGATTCACCTACACGGTTTTTTTAAAAATTTTGAAATCGCAAAAAAATCGAAAAAAATTAACACACGTATACACGCAATTGAATAGAAAAAAATAGCAATAAATGAATTTTTTTATCCTCATTGAAACAGTAGATTCACCTACGCGGTTTTTTTAAAAATTTTGAAATCGCAAAAAAATCGAAAAACAATTAACACACGTATACACGCAGTTTAATGGAGAAATAGGAATAAATGAATTTTTATATTCTCATTGAAACGGTAGATTCATCAAACTTTTTTTTCTAATTTATCCAAAAAACCCACCTCAATCTTCACATCCTCCAGCTTGGGCTCCTGCTTGGGCTGCTCACAAAAGTTCTCGTTTTTGTCGAAATAGGAGAATTTGGGTTTGGTGAGGAGTCTCTCGGCTTGGAGGCCGGCTTGCAATCGTGCCGAGACCCGTTCGGCCAGTCCTCCGCCCAGACCGTAGGTCGTTCGAGCCTTCACGTATTCTTTGGTCAGGGATTCTGGAAAAATCGATAATTTCGCATTTAAAAGTCTTTTTGATGAGATATTACATGTTCTCTATTCAAGGATACCTGAAAAAATAGATTTTATTTTTTTATTTTTACTGAAGAAAGTTTCCATTTAGTTCTTACATACTCTTAAATCAAGGGTTCTGGAAAAATGGATATTTTCGGATTCAAAAGTCTTTCCGTTCAGCTCCTACATGATCTTTAGACAAAAATTCTGGGAAAAGGGTTTTTTTTTTTCAATTTTAATAAACTTTCCAATAGCCCTCACGTATTCTTTGGTCAGGGATTCTGGAAAAAAATCAGATATTTTCGGGTTCAGAGGTCTTTTAAAATGAGGTACTACATGATCTTTAGACAAAAATTCTAGGAAAAGTTATTTTTTTTCCCAAATTTAACAAACTCTCCAATGAGCCCTCACGTATTCTTTGGTCAGGGATTCTGGAAAAAAATCGGATATTTTCGGGTTCAAAAAAAGCCTTTTTGATGAGGTCCTACATACTTTCTCTTGAGTCAAAAAAATCTGGAAAAAAATCGATATTTTTTTCAAAAATAAATAATGTTTCCAGTTAATTCTTACATACTATTCAGTCGAAAAAAATCTGTAAAAAAACGATTTTTTTAACTGAAAATTAATTTCCGATCAGCTCCTACATATTGTTAATTCAAAAAAATATCTGAGAAAAATCGTTTTTTTTAACAGCTCTAACAGAATATTCCGTCAAGTGTTACGAAAAAAAGCGATTTTTTCAAATTGAATAAGTTTCTAAAGAGCTTCTACATAATCCTAAGCCAAGATTTCTCGAAAAAAATTTGAATTTCGAAAAATTTAATGAACTCCACGTTCTTACAGATTCTTTAGCCAAAAAAATGTTGAGAAAAAAACTAAAAAAATCAAAAAAATCAATCAATTTCAAGCCAAATTTCGGCCGAAAAATTTTGGATTCTTTTTACAAATTTTCTGTGGAAAAAGGCCAAATAAAAAAACTTTTTTTCGTTTCAAAAAAATGACGCAAAAATAAAAACAAAATGCAAAAAAATGTCGTAAAAAAACCCCCGAAAAAGACGCTAAAAAGGCCCAAAAATATATATTTCAATCCTATTTTTTTCAAATTTCGTTTCATTTTTTTAGCAATAAAACGCTACGAAAAATTATAAAAAAAGCTACAAAAAAATCAGGTTGAAATTGACTTTTTCTGGCCAAAAAGTTCAAAACCCTTTTTATATTCATTTTCAACAATGAAAGGCTACAAAAAAATCCTAAAAAAAGTCGAGAAAAACTGGGGTAAAATTGACTTTTTAAGCTAAAAAAAAAATGTTCCAAAATCCATTTCGTTTCATTTTCAACAATAAAAAGGCTACAAGAATCATAAAAAAATCGAAAAAGAAGGTATAAATTGACTTTTTCAAGCCAAAAAAATGTTCCAAAAAAACCTAGAAAAAGACAATTTTTCTCACCATCAGAGCCCGCAGACGTGCTCTGTTCCCGCATGAGCCGTTTTTTCAGTTTTTCCGGAATCGGCGCTGTTTTTAAGCTGTACTTTCACACCGTTTCTCGACTGCTAAAACCGTCAAAAATTATTTTTTTCTTCAACTTTTTTTCAAAACCATAGTGAATTTGGATTTTCCATTGTCGGATCCTTTTCGGGGCATCACCGGCAACTGTATCGATTGTTTCAAATTCGACGAAGTGATCAAAGTCGAAATTTCTTTTTCGGCCGAATCGTCGACCTCGTGGACGAACGACTTTCCCGGCTCGGATAACTGCAAAAAAAGCTTGAAAAAGCTAAAAAAAGCTGGGGGAGTCGGCAAAAAAATCGAGGAAAAATTCTAGTAAAAATTCTAAGAAAATTCAAGAAATAACTATCCTTCATTTAAGTCTTTACACCACAATATTTGATTTTTTTTTGCCCCTCTGAATTTTTTTTTCATTCTATTCACCTAGGGGGGTCAGCAAAAAAATTAAAAAAATCAAAGAAAAATTCAAGGTATAGCAACTTTTAACTGTATCCTTTACATGGCAAGAAATTGGCAAAAATCGAGGATAATTTTAAGGAAAAATCAAGAAATATCCTCCCCTAACAGTCCTCTTCCCATCACAATGTTATCTAATCTTTTATGTCCTCAAATTTTTCCTGGTTAACCCCCCTTTTTTTAAGCTTTTTCTACCTCAACCCCCTGCCCCCCAATCATTGATTTCAGTCCATGTAACTTTCTGGGAGGAAAAACTTTTTGAAAGATATAAGAAAAAAATCAAGGAATATCATCCTCTAACAGTCTTCTTTACATACCAATATCATCTAATTTTCTATGTCCCTCTCAATTTTTTTCTGGTTAACCCCCCCCAGTCCTCTTAACATGACAGTTATCTGATTTTTTTACATCCGTTTAAATGGTTCACAGTCCCTGCCCCCTTCTTTTTCTGCTTTCGCTACCTTAACCCCCCTTTTCAGCTTTCTCTAGTTTAACCCCCCGCCCCTTTTTATTCAGTTGCGAAGAAAAAAAAAGAAAAAAAAAATCAAGGAACATCAAGGAACATCATCCCCTAACAATCATGTTTACATAACGATCTCATCTGATTTTTCTTTTGTCCTTTTAAATTTTTTCTTGTTTACACCCCTCCCCCCTTTTCTCTACCTCAACCCCTCCCCCTGCCCTTCTTATCCAGTTGGGGGGAAAAAGAAAAAAAAATCAAGAAATATCATCCCCCAACAGTCTTCTCCTCATGCCAATATCATCCAATTCTCTAAGTCACTTCTGAAGTTTTCAGCCTCACCGGGAACTTCTCGGGGAAGAGAACCGACAACGTGGCCCAGAAGTGTTCGACGACGACGTTCAGAAGGCCGGGCATCTGGTTCAAGCTGGGCGTCGGGTTGGAGTCGTCGTAGAGCAGCACGTTCAGGGCGTTCATCGCCCAGATCGCCTCCGTGTCGAGACCCGATCTCAGGGCCATTATCAGCCTTCGTGGGGTTGCCTGAAGTCCACATTGTAGAAATTTTTGAAAAATTCATGGAAAATCCAACAAAACTCTCAAGCTAGTCATGATCGAACTATACAGGAAATTCGAAAAAATATTATTTTTTTTGGCTCATTGAATCAAGGCTAAATATCGATTTAATAAATTTTTTTCTCTGATTTTTTTAAATTTTTAATTTTCTGGGACTCATTTTTTTCTAGACTCTCTTTCAGTCAAAAAATGGTTTATACCTAATTTTTTTCCAGTTGAAATTTTTTTCAGTTCGAAAAAAACTTTTTTTGCTCAACGTATTGGGCTCATTTTTTTCAACTAAAATTTACCTTCCAAAAAAATTTTTTTCTATCTATTTTTTTCAGCCTAAAAAAACGTTCGGCATAAGATTTTAAACTCATTTTTCATTTCTGAAATTTTTTTCAGCCATTTTTCTGCCCAAAAACGTGTCCCTCCGACTTTTAGGCTTATTTTTAAACTAATGTTTCACTTTTAAAATTTTTTCTAGCTATTTTTTTCAGTCCAAAAAAACTTGTAACTTAAATTTTTTTAGATCTATTTTTCCAACTCATTTTACATTGTCTAAAAAAATTTTTTTTCCAGCTTATTTCCTGTCCAAAAAAACTTGTCCTTCAGGTTTTTTTCGGCTCATTTTTTTCAACTCATTTTTTTCATTTCTAAAAAAATTTTTTTCTAACTACTTTTTCTGTCCAAAAAAACTTGTCACCCAGATTTTTGGGCTCCTTTTTTTAACCTTTTGAACATTTTTTTCTATCTATTTTTTTCAGCCCAAAAACTTCTCTCTTAATTTTTTAAGCTCGATTTTCAGCTCATTTTTCACTTCTAAAACTTTTTTTTAGCCATTTTTCAGTCCAACAAACTTTTTCCATCAGATTTTGGGCTCTTTAGGACTTTCTCCAACTACTCTGTCCCTAAATCGAACATTTTCGACCCAATTTTCTCAAAAAAAAAAAAAAACGAACATTGACAAGTTCCCGGGCGACGATTTTCCGACGTCGCTTCTGGCTGATCGTCGTCGCCTCGACGGATCCGTAGGGGAACTGTTGGGGCGGGTTGGCCATCAGGGTGGTCGCCAGGGCGGAGGGAGCCGTCGGCTGTTGAGGCGTGGCGAGGGCGGCGGTCGGCGGGACGACGCTTCCGGGCTGAGTGGGGTAGGCGCCGGGGGCCGGGGCGGGGGGTCGCACCGGCGGTTGGGGCGGCTGCTGCGGCGTCGAGGACGGGTAGCGGACTTTTTGCTGCTGCCGCCTGGAGATGGGGCGCTGGTGGTTGGTGGCATCCGTTGTTGCTGCGAAGGTTGTTGCGGAGCTTGCTGCGGCGGGAACGGATAGCGAGGAGCTTGAGATGGAGCCTGAGCTGGGGCTCCGGACGGTTGTGAGGTTCCTGGTCCAGCTGAACTTGTCGGTGGTGCCGCGGCGCCGCCTGGCTGTTGGTATTGCCGTTGCCACATCTGGAAAATGTTTAATCATTCTAACCGTCTGCGCTCTCTCATTCTCTAGGATATTTCTGCCCACCTGCTGCATGTATTGCTGATGTTGGGGATGGTGCATGCCGGGATGAGGTCCATATCCAGGTCCACTGGGGTACGGATAACCCTGAGGCGGTCCTCCAGGCCCTGGCGCGAATCCCGGAGCTCCAGGTCTCATTTGAGCATTCGGATACATCGGACCAGGCTGGCCTGGGTAGTAGGGCGGCTGTTGGTGAGCTGGAGGAGCTCCGGCGGTGCTGAAAAATCGGAAATTGAAGATCGCAGTTTTAGTAATAGATTTTTTTTAATCATTTTTTTCAGTTTTTTGAACTCTCCGATCTTCTTCTCCAAGAGCTGTAGGAGTTCCGACAGTGCTAAAAAAAATGGGAGCTGGACAAACTTTCTAGATTCCTACGAGACGAATTTTTTCCCGAGCTCTTTCAAACTCTTATGGATCCTCGAAGAGCTGGAGAAGCTCCGACCGTACTCAAAAATGGGAGCTGGACGAACTTTCTATAGTTCTACAAGAGCCATTTTTCTTCCTAAGTTCCCTTCAACTTCAAGAATCATCCAAGAGATGGAGGAGCTCCGACAGTGCTCAAAAATTGGAGCTGTGCGAACTTTTTATAGTTCTACAAGAGGCATTTTTCTCTTTAAGTCAATTCCACCTCTCCAAATTCCTTCAAGAGCTGTAGGAGCTCCGACAGTGCTAAAAATTGGGAGTTGGACAAACTTTTTATAGTTCTCCAAAGGGCATTTTTCCTCCTTAATTATCTCCAGCCCATAAAAATAACCAAGTGAGCTGGAGGAGCTCCGACAGAGCTCAAAAATTGGAGCTGGGTGAACTTTTCATTCTTCTAAAAAAAAAACATAGAGCTGGTGTAGCTTCGACAGTGCTCAAAAATTGGAGCTGGACAAACTTTCAATACTTCTCAAGTTATTTTAAGAGCTGGAGGAGCTCCGACAGCTCTCAGAAATCGAAGCTTAATGAACTTCTCCACCTTGTCGAGGGCGCACTCGGAGTAGGGGTCGCCGCTGGCGGAACCGGCGTGGCCGGAGTGTTCGTTCCAGAAGCTGCTGAGGCAGGTCTTTCCGTGGCGGGAGCTGGAGCAGCTGACGGGGTCGCGGCTGCAGATGGAGCCGACGTCGACGGGGCCACATCGGCGCCTCCGCTGAGCCTGGAAGAGCTGTCAGGAGTCGCTGCGGCGGGGTTGGTTGGTCCGACACTTGGAGCACGACTTCCAGCCTGACTTGCGGCCGTGTCGACCTTAAACAGAACATTTTTCCTCATTGAAACTCTAAAATTAAAGAAAAAAGACAGAAAATTGAAAAAATCAAAAGAAAAGCTGTAAAAAATAGGCTTGGCTGATTTTTCGTCACAACATTCGCTCCGCGGACAAAATTTTCTACGAACCCTAAAATTTTTCCTAGTGCTCCAAAATCAACCTAAGACGTCTAAAAAATCCAGGAAGCCTCTAAAAACCCAATTGAGACCATAAAATGACCCTAAGAGTCTTAAAAACTCTATGAAACCCTTATAAAAAGACATCTCAAGTTCTAAAGTCAACCTAAAAAAATTTAAAAAGTCCTTCTGAAGCTTTAAAATGAACTTTTCAACCTTAAAAATCAACGCAAAAAAAGCTTAAAAAAATCCCGTGAAGAACCCTAGGATCAACCTGGAACCTTTTAAGACTAAAAATGATTCACATAAAACGCCTAAAAACTACTAAAGAACTTTAAAAAAATCGCTCAAAAATTGAATTAAAAAAAGCCTAAAACTCCATAAAAATCCCTAAATTAACCTTAAATCTTTCTAAAACTGAAATGATGATCAACATGAAGTTTTTCCTAAGGCTTCTATAGACCTGAATCCTTTTTAGACTGAAACGATCAAAATAAAACCCCTAAAGCTCCTACTGAGCTTTAAAAGCCCTTCTTCCGCTTCAAATAAATAAACGCAAAGACCCCAAAAAATCTACCTGAAGGGCCGCCGGAGTAGCGGGCTGTACCGAACTCGGAGTCGCCGGTTGGGTATTCGTTCCGGGAACCGAAAGCTGGGAGGATGGCTGTTGGGTCTGCTGTTGTTGCTGCTGTTGTTGTTGAGCCGCATGAGCTTGGGCTTGAGCCTGAGCTTGGGCCTGCGCTTGGGCGTGGGCATGAGCCGCCTGTTGCTGCTGATGATGGTACCACTGTCGCTGGTGCTCGTCCATTTCTTGCTGAAAAATCGATAATTGAAAATCAACCTGAATCTCTTGAAACTATTCCGATGAGAGTCTAAGAGAGCGCAGATAGTCAGACTTTTTTCGAGGCATATCACCAAAAATCGTAAAAGCCTTATCTTTGAAGGGATTTCCTACCGTAACCTACAAAATTTCAATGTTTATCTCTTCCTCTTTTCTCTAATAAGAGAGCGCGGACAGAAAATCGTCTGAATCTCCCCACTTCGCACACTATTTCTCAAGGGGGCAGTGAATGGACCATATGGACTTTCAGCGCAAAAATTCCGTAAAACCTTCCTTTTTGTCTACAAAAACATAAGAAAGCTCGAAATATCCCAATATCTCCCATTTTCATCCCGATTACCATGTGCTGCGGCATCGGCGCTCGCATCGGTGTGGCGCCCGCGGACGGCATTCGGGGCGGAAATTGTCCCGGGGAGAATCCTTGAGGCGGTGGCGGGCCATAACCGGGATGATGAGGCATTGGTGGCTGGTAATAGTAGTTGGGATCCCCCATCGGGCCGGGAAACGCTCCGGGCGGCGGGACAGGTCCTCCGGCGCTGTTTCCTAAAGAAAAATCGTGTTTTTTTGAAGTTACCTCACATTTTCAGACCTAGCTCCACATAAAAAATGAATTTTTCCTTGTTTTTTTTTTTCATTTTACATTAAATTTTCCTTATATCTGTTTTTCATCCCTCTCTTTTCTCTCTAAATCTCCTCCATATCTCCCTCTCTCCCTCTGCTTAAAGTTGAGCCCTGGATATAATACCGATATAAAGGGATACATAAAAGAGCCGGCCCGTTCCCATGCCAACCATCTTACAAACATAATCAGCGCTTTTCTTTTTTCCTCCTCGCCTCACTGCCGTTCGAAAAAAAAAGGCGCTAAATATAACTAAAATTACGAATTCTCGTTATCAAACTCTCCTGCGGCCTTTGCTATTAGGAAATGAAGAGAAAATAATAACAATGGTCCGAAAAACAAGCAAAAAAGCACTTTGGACTTGAAAAAAAAAATAGCAAAAAAAATGGCCCAAATTTTTCTTTCAAGTGCGCTCCAATGATAATTATTCTTCCGGCTCATTTTTTTCAAAGTTTTTTTAAAAAGAAAAATTCAGTACTGATTACCGTCTGCCCGTTCCTAGGCCCAGGGGCTCCAAAAAAATAAATAAATAAATTGGCCCAAATTTCTCTGGCAAGTGCGCTCCAATGATAATTATCCTTCCGGCTCATTTTTTTTAGCGTTTTTTTAAAAAGATAATTCAGTACTGATTACCGTCTGCCCGTTCCTAGTCCCATGTGGCAAAAAAAATAATAATAATAAATGGGCCCAAATTTCTCTGTCAAGAGCGCTCCAATGATAATTATCCTTCCGGCTCATTTTTCAGCTTTTTTTAAAAATTATTATCGTCTGCGTGTTCCTAGCCTCATGGGCAATCCGGACAGTGAAAAAAATCAATGAAAAATATTCTTTTTAAAGTTTTTTTTAAAATTTTCTACAGCTTTCCAACTACTACAAAAAGCTCAAAACCCCTTTTTTTCTAATCTTCGACCGCTTCTAGGCTTTGAAAAAACCCTCACCGTAAAGCCTCCAATCCGGCGGGGGCTGCGGTGGCGGCAAAAAGCCTCGAGACCGGTAAAAGTGTTCCCTGGACAGCTGCTGGTGCTGATAGAAGTTCATTGCGTGAGCATATTGGGCGTATTGAGGCATATAGGGAGCTGGCGGCTGTCCTGGCTGCTGTTTGTTCGAGCCGGGGGAAGCTGGAGCTGGCGGAGGCTGGGGCGGCATCGGATAGCCGTAGGGAGAGGTCGGGTAGGGCATCCCTGGGTACATGGGCGGTCCAGGGGATGGGCCCTGGTTGGGAGCAGCGGCGCCGGTGGAGAGGTATCCATTGCCTTGCTGCGGATTCTGAGGGAACCAGGTCGCCGTGGCGGCAGCCATTCTCGGACCGGTGGCGTAGTAATCGGCCGAGGTCGAGGCGTGGGTTCCCGGTCCGCTGGCGGAGCCGCCAGGCTGGGCGGCTGTCTTTTTCGACGCCGACGGCACTTTGAACCTGGGATCTTGACGGTCAGGAAGTCAAAATGTTCCTTTTTTCTTGTTTTTTTGGAGCTTCAAGGTTTGGACTTGAAGCAGTCGAGCTCAGATCCTTGAGGTTCGGATCTTGAGGGTCAGGAAGTCAAAGGGATCCTTTTCTAGTAGTTTGAAGCTTCAGACTTCCAGAAGCCTCGTTGAAGTTCGGATCTGGACGGTTAGGAGTTCAAAGTGGTCCTTTTCCTTCCTTTTTGGTAGCTTGGAGGTTCAGACTTCAAGCAATCGAGGTCGATTTTAAGCTTCCAGACGTCGATAGTCAAGCTCAAAACCCAGATGCCAGAAACCACGAATCGGGAAACAACAAACAGAAGCTTGGATCTGGCCCAAACGCCCGATTTTCCCTCTCAAGGAGTCGAAAATTCAACCAATCAACATGAAGCCACGTCTACACCTGGAATATCCAATTGAGAACCGCGTCAGTGCGAGAAAAACGAGGCAAATTACGGGGTTGCGAAGAAATTCAAATACCAAGCTTGCACTCGAGTGCAAAGAACAGTTATTTTTTGAGTTTTGAGCTGGAAATCGGAACAAAGAAGGGTAAATTTTACCAGGAAATGAATTTATGAAAATTCAAACACTACAAAGTCCGAAGAGGATTATTTTAAAACAGTTCTTTGTATTTTTTTTTTATCATGGCAATAAATAAAACCTAGAATATTTTGATTCTGCGAGTTTTTAAATTTCCCTACAACCAATATATCCAGTAGGAAATCGATAAAATGAAGGTTTTCAATTTTTTTCAACTTTTAAGAACTGCAAGCGTTTGTAAAAAGGTTCTCATACCGAAAAAAATCGAGAAAGTGCAATTTACAAGTCTTCAATCTCACTGAAAAACTATGGAAACTGATTAAAAATCCTTTAATCTTAATAAATTGAACTAAAAAAATGGCAAAATTAAATTTTTTTGAGCCATAAAAATTAATTTAAAAAGTCTTTTTGAACTTAATGAAGTACCATGAAATCTAATTAAAAATCTTTTTAATCAGGATATTTTCAAATTAAAAATCGAAGAATTGACCTTTTTAAAGCCATAAACTTAATTTAAAAAGTCTTTTTGAACTTTACAAAGATCCATAAAAGCTCACTAAATGTCCTAAATGTTGATAAATTCATCTGAAAAATCGATTGGACCTTTTTTTAAAGAATTTTATGGACCTTTTTTTCGGATTTTATGAACTTTTTTTATAGCCATAAAATTGATGTAAAAAGCCTTTCTGAACTTAATAAAGAACCATAAAAGCTAATTAAAATCCTTTAATGATGAGACTTAACTTTTTCTTCAAGTCATAGACTTAATTTAAAACCTTTTTTTTTTAAACTATCAAGAAAAATCTGCCAAAAGCCCTTTCCCAATGACATATGTTTGCTTAGAAGAGTAGCCATGGGAAAAAAAAACCTTTTCTGCAAACAAAACTCGGGGTCAGAAATGAGCAATAACTCGCAACAAAGAGGGGAGAATGTGTACGATTCCCGAGGGGAGGCGAAAATAAAAAAGACGAAGAAGAAGAAAAGGAAGAAAGAATCGTTCCTCTGCGAGAAAACGATATCGACACGCGGCCGTGTGAAAAAAATCAGTGGCGGCGGCGCTCTTTTTTATTTTTTTCCTCGCCTTTTCTCTTCGGAATAATATCTTCTTCAGAATCTCGAAAATGCGAGCACTTTTTTTCGCGGTTCTTGAGAGCTTTTTACAGTGAGAACTACTTCATTTTGGAACTTGAAAAGTCGCTGAAGGCCGGGTGAAGCTACTGGGGATGAAAAAACGCAACGCGACCGCGACACTTTGAGCCATTCGAAAAATTTGACGATCTAAGTCGTAGAAATATGGACAAACTCAAAAGGAATAAAACAGGAAATGGCTCTATTTTCCTTGAAAAAAATGGAAAAGTCAGACTTCTCTGCACATCCAATCTCTCAATGATGCATTCTTGTTTACGCGTTGTTTTCGGCGAGAGAAAAGAGGGCACAGACAGGTCAGACGGTCCAGAATCTCGGCTTTATGTATCTCGAAAATGCGAACACTTTTCAGCCAAGAAAAAGGTCATATTTTAAACCTCATCATTCCTAATAGGGAGATAGGAAAAGCTTAATCTTAAAAATACCACTTTTGGTCTAAAAAATGCGAAAAATTGTCATATTGGTCAGGCCGTTATCCATTGAAAGATGGGAAAAGCTGAATTTTGAGAAAAAGCAGACCAACTTGGGTCTTAAAATTCGGACATTTATCATATCTATCAACAGAAAAATTGAAGCCGATATCAATAAAAAATGGGAAAAATCTGAATTTTAAAAAAAAGGCAAACTTTTGGTCTAAAAATCGTATCTATCAACAGGGGGGTGGTCAGGTAGATTGAAGCCGACATTAATAAAAATATGGGAAAAGCTGAATTTTGAAAAAAAGCAAGCCAACTTTGGTCTATCAACAGAAGGGTGGTCAGGTATATTGAAGCCGATATCAATTAAAAATGGGAAAAGCTGAAGCCATGGAAAAATGAAAAACATGTCCTATCCATCTATGGAAGAAGCTCATTTGCCAAAGTGATATCCTTCTCAAACCTCAAAACGGCTCTGATAGTCGGACAGGAAAAGGTGAAGCCAAAAAAGGCCAACTTTTTTTGCCTACGTCTCAAAACTGCGAACACTCATCAGGGGTATAAATACACACACCACATCTATATAGAAGAGGTGATAGCGGAAAGCTAAAGGGCTGTCGTGTGTGATAGAGAAGCAGAGACCGGCCGTGGCAACGACACTGAGCCTGGCAACCGGCTCTTTTTCTCTGAGAATACTCGGGAATGAGCACACGAGGATGAGCTGGACCAGGGCCGGGATTCTTCTCGAATCAAGACCAAAATGGCGGCGGCTACAGCTCGGAAGGAAGGAGGAGGAGGAGGAGGAGGCGGCGGCGGGTTGGCCCGGGAAACAGGAGAAACTTGTAGGCGGGGACGGCCTAGAGAAGCCGACCGGCCGGCTCTCCGGGCGTCGCCAAGAAGAAACCATTTTCGCTCCCTGTGCTGCCCCATCCCCATCCGCGCTCACCAGAAACGCTCACCACAACAAAACCAAAACCTTGCCCCGTTTTTGTGCGCATGTGTGTTTGTGTGCTTCGATTTCGAGGCGTTCCGATTCTTGTCACTCTACGGGCATATCTATACACACACCTTCGGGCCTTTTCGTCTCGTCTGATGGCTCCTTGGCACGTTTTCAAGGTACAATGTCTTTTCTTAGTTTTGTAAGCTCCTTGTGTCACGAAATATGAAATATCGGACGGATCAGAGTTTAAAAAAATGAGTATTTTATTTTAAATTAGTTTTGTAAGCTCATTGTGTCACGAAATGTGAAATATCGGACATATAAGGGTTAAAAAATAGGTAATTTGGTTAAGTTTTGTAAGCTTCTCGTGTCACGGAATAGCCATAAAAAACTTTCAGAATGAAAATTAAGGAAAAATTGCTTCTATGACTGTCTATTGTCACGAAACATTATCGTTATATCTACTATCAAGTAATTTTCGAAGAAACGGGAATTTTGAAAAGAAAAAGGATATTTCAAGTTTTTTTGCCATGCTATTTAAAAAACACTACAGAAAGTTAATATTTCATTTGATTAATTCAATTTTGCAAGGTAGAAAAATTGTCCTCAATCAGTCAGTTTAGATATTTTTTTGAAGCTCCCTAAAAAAATACAAAAAAATTTGAAAAAAATCATGTTTCAAAGCTTTTTGGGACATAAAAATCAATTTTTTTCAATCGCGAAAAATCTTGAAAGCTCTTGGGTTAGTTTCTCTTTAAAAGGTACTGTTATCGCCTTAAAAATATTTTTTTTTCAGTTCCTCGAAGGTCCAACTTCATTACTGGCTCCTCAAAAACCACAAAGGTAAGTCCATTTATCGATTTTTGTACTTTCTGTAGGGGTAAAATCGATCCTATCGCTTCTCCTTGTCAAAATCTCTACACGAATCCTCTTTCTCCAATTTTCGCCATTTTTAAGGACATTTAGAGCTCATTCTTCTTCAAAAAACAGGCTTTTTTCGTAGAAAAAGTGGTCTTCCCTGTCAAAATCTCTACAGGAATCCTCTTCCGTCCAATTTTTGACATTTTCAAGAACTTTTAGAGCTCATTCTTCTTCAAAAAACAGGCTTTTTTCGTAGAAAAAGTGGTCTTCCTTGTCAAAATCTCTACATGAGTTCTCATTTATCCGATTTTTGCCTTTTTAAGAACTCATAGAGCTCATTTTTCTTCAAAAAACAGTCAGCACTTGACATTTAAAGTCCATTTCTCCATACTTTCTATTTTTTCTCATAGAAAAAGTGATTTTCTTGCTTCTCCTTGTCAAAATCTGTACACGAATTCTCATTCGTCCGATTTTTGTCGTTTTTAAGGGCTCTTAGAGCTCATTTTTTCTTCAAAAAACATGTTTTCTTCGTAGAAAAAGTGATCTTCCTTGTCAAAATCTGTACACGAATCAATTGGTTCAATTTTTGTCCTTTTTATTCGAAAAACATGCTCATAACTTGACAATCCAAGTCCATTTCTTCATAATTTTCTATTTCTTCTTATAGATTCGGCCAAAATCTCTGCCCGAAAAGGCCTTTTGCCAATTCGTATCCGTCGGGGAGAAGGAAGGATAAGCTTTTGGAAAATCCGCCAAATACAAATATCGGTTGCCATGAGAACCGGGGAAGACGAAAAGCCGGCAACTGATCGACTGATTACTTTACCTTTGAGGAGATATAGTGGGGTAAGCTGGAGGTCCAACGGGGGGCGTTTATTAGTGGGGGTGGCAAAGATTTACGCTTCATCTATATTCGTCCGTCGTCAGGCCGACTTCCATTGGAATTTGGTCGATTCATGTCCTTTTTGCTGTGTTTTTCGTGTTTGAATCCCTTTTTTGGAAATCAAAGTTGATCTTGATGAGCTTGTTTTTGGCTTCTGGGCCTTTTTATTCGTTATTGAACTCCATTTTTGAGCTCTCGAGGCTCATTTTTTTGACTTCGAAGCTCTTTTTTTTCGCCATTAAAGCTCATTTTTGGCCTTTGAAGCTCAGTTTTATCTTCTTAAAGTTCCTCTGCATGAGTTTTAAAGCTGTCGGGAAAATTTTTTCACATCCTTTATCGTCGTCAGGCCGACCTCCATTGGAATATAGTCGATTCATCATCTTTTCTTGCTGTTTTTTCGTGTTTGAATTTCTTTTTTGGAGTTCAAAGTTGATCTTGAAGGCTTTCAAAGCTCTTTTTTTTGCTACTGAAGCTATTTTTTGCCATTGAAGTCCGTTTTTGGCCTCCGAAGCTCCTTTTTTCGCCCCTGAAGTAAATTTCGTGGCTCTTGAAGCTCATTTTTGGGTCCTTGAAGCTTATTTTTGGGCTCTTTGAGCCCATTTTTGGCCCTTGAAACTCGTTTTTGGCCTTCGAAGCCCATTTTTGGCCCTTGAAATTCATTTTTTTGACTTCGAAGCTCAGTTCTTCTGAAGTTCATCTTCTTGCTTTTTGAAGCTGACGGCTTATTTTTTGAAGTTCAAAGTTGATCTTGAAGGCTTACAAAGCTCTTTTTTTGGCTTCTGAGGCTATTATTTGCTACTGAAGCTCATTTTTGGCCTTTGAAGCTGAGTTTCGACCCTTGGAGCTCATTTTTGGCCTTTGAAGCTCAGTTTTGCTTTTTTGAAGCTGTTCACTTTTTCCTTTTTCAGTCTGTTTTTTTCTTTTCCAAGTCTATTTTCAAGCCATCCCAAGTATTTTCCATCCTAATTAACTAATTACTAACTAATCAACATCGCAATTAATATTCCTAAATAAATCCAGGCCTCTATTTCTGGGAAACGGGGTCATTTCCAATAATTTATCCAATAAAGTTCCCTTTTATCTGATTTTTGATCTTCTTTCTATCAATCTTTGGCCATCTCCTTCTTCTGAAACTAACCAGGAAAGTTGGGCGGAGGTTGCTGAGCGGCACCAGTCGCATTGGCCGGCGGATCTTTCCTCCGTTGTCTTTTGAGCTTGTCGGCAAAGGCGACCTCGTCGTCCGGATTCCTTCCGGTCTCCACACATTCCAGCATCAGGAGATGCTTCTGGTAGTGTCTTCTCAATTGATAGCCGGCGGCAGAAGATTCCGAGAGTTCTGGATTCGCTTCGGAGCAGATCGACTTCCAGGACTTGTCTTTTGTCACCTAGAAACCATATAAAAATAATCTGGTCGCACTTGGAATGGCTCAAAGCATCGCGGTCACAAAAGTTCTCACTAGTTTCTGGTCGCATTTGGAATGGCTCAGTTAAACCTTCGCTAGCCATTCCTTATGCGACCAATTTAAAACTGTTCTGGTCGAATTTGGAATGTCTAAACGCGTCACGGTCGCACTGAGGTTGTAGGTTGAATATAGCGTAAGTCGTAAAAGGTCGGGCGCAATTCTCGCTCAACGGCTATGCTTTACGAGCGAGTTTCTGGTCGCATTTGGAATGGCTCAGTTAGAATTTCTTTGCTACCGCCACGCGTTGAGTTACTCCATTTGCGGTCAGGTTAAAAAAGTTCTGGTCGCATTTTGAATGGCTGAGTTAAAATTTCTTTGCTACCGCCACGCGTTGAGTTACTCCATTTGCGGTCAGGTTAAAAAAGTTCTGGTCGCATTTGGAATGGCTCAATGCGGTGCGGTCGCGTTGCGGCTTAAACTGAACTTTTGAGAATTGTATTCCAAGTTTTGACGAGCGTTATGTGTTGAGCCATTCCCTATACGCCCTATTTTAAAAAAATCTGGTCGCATTTGGAATGGCTCAGTGCTCAACTGTTCAAGCTTTCCATAAGAACCCTTGAGCCATTCCACATGAGACCGATTTTAGACTTTTCTGGTCGCATGTAATACTCATATAAGCCGCGCGTCGAGCCATAGTCGATTCTCTCGAATTTTTAACCTGCTGAAATCCGCCTCGGTTCCTGACGGCGATGTAGAGCCGATGAAGGTCGATGTTTTGCTTGGAGACTTGTGGGACCATTGTGATCGGTTCTCCGTGTTGCTCGCAGAACATGACGAGTCGTTCGAAGAAGGCTCGTCTTTCCGGCATGACTCTCGCCGGATTGGCCGCCGTCACGGGTCCGACCTGAAAGGCCGAATTTCATATTGTACCAATTTTTTCATGATTGAATGACAGATTTTCTTGACTTTTCAGTCATTTTTGAGGTCTAGATCTGCGAAATTTCGCCAATTTTTTTCCCATTTAGCGTTGTTGTTCTGGGACCATTTTCTCACAGTTATTTCCTCCGCATCGATCGATTTAGAATTTCGACTCCGCTGCCCGTTTTATTTCGAAAGCTGTTCCTTTTTGCGTCCTATTACTATAGCTGTTGCGAATTTAAAGCTACTTTTTTTTGAAGACTATCCCTCTAAATCTACATTTTACGTCACCTACTTTGTCTCAAAAAAGGTGGAAGCTATTTTGAGACGGCTAAGTCTTCCTATCCATGCAGCTATTTCTAAGCGGCTAATTCTCCCTCTATTTCAGTACACGTTTCAGAATTACAGCTTGTGCGCTCCATAAAAGTTGCAGCTATTTTTGAGCGGCTAATTTTTTCCTATCCATGCAGCTATTTCTAAGCGGCTAATTCTCCCTCTACTTCAGTACACGTTTCATAATTACAGCTTGTGCGCTCCATAAAAGTTGCAGCTATTTTTGAGCGGCTAATTTTTTCTCTTTTTCAGTACACGTTTCATAACTACTCTTGTGCGCCTCATAGAAATGCAGCTATTTTTGAGCGGCTGAATTTTTCTCTCCATCAGTACACGTTTCATAACTACAGTTAGCGCGCACCATAGAAATCGCAGCTATTTCTAAGCGGCTAATTCTCCCTCTACTTCAGTACACGTTTCATAATTACAGCTTGTGCGCTCCATAAAAGTTTCAGCTATTTTTGAGCGGCTAATTCTTCCTATATATGCGGCTATTTTTGAGCGGCTAATTCTTTCTGTCCATGCAGCTATTTTTTCGCGGCTAATTATTCCTCTCCTTCAGTACACGTTTCATAACTACATCTTGTGCGCTCCATAGAAGTTGCAGCTATTTTTGGGCGGCTAATTCTTATTTTCTGCCTTCTCATTCTATCAATGCTGGAAGCTCAATTTCTAGGCTATTTCTCTCCGAAAAAATCGCGGCTAATTTATTTCTTTTCCATTTCCTCCAAAGTCAATCAGTAGTGTCAACTTTGCTGTAGGGACATTTTAAAGGCTCCAAAAATTTTTTAGACATTTCTATGCAGCTTATTTTGAGCAGCTATGTTTTCCTCTGCTTTTTCATTTCTACGCGGCTATTTTCTTCACACGATCCTCACCAATCGATCAATGATATCGGCCTTGCTGGCGGCGCTAGCCGGAGGCGGTCTGGAAGTGCTGGCGGCGGTACCGGCGGGTGTGGCCGCAGTCTGAGGGGTCGCCGGCGGTTGCTGTGCTGGACTTGGCTGAGCCGGCGGATACATTCCTGCAGGAACGACTGGAGGAGGTCCCATCGTCGGTCGTTGCTGGAAAATCGATGATTGGATTTGGAGGGACGCCGAGGGGTACCGCAGAACTGTTGGACCAGGAGGGGGATTCCATCCGCGGTTTTTCGTCCAGAGATTCTTCGGCGATCGATGACGCCGACGGACTTGGTGCTGTCAGACTGGCTGGCGTCGCTGGGTTCGGTTCTTGCTGTAAATTGATTCATCTAACATTTCTCTTGGTGACACTCCTCTACCTTGAGCTTCTGCGCGGCGGGCTGAGGATGAGCTGCAGCAGCTGCGGCGGCTTGTTGCTGGGCCGCCCATTCGGTCGGCGTCGGTCCGGGCGGCATTCGGACCATGTCGGGAGGCATGTGCGGCGGCCGCATCATGTGCTGCGGCTGCTGTGCTCCCGGGTAGCCCGGAGGGAATCCGCCGGGATAGGCTCCGTACGGCGGGAAGGGACCTCTCGGCGGCATGTAGGGATATCCGTGAGGCGGGTAGCCGTGCGGCATCGCCGGATGTGGCATCGCGCCTTCTGAAGTCAAGAGATTCTCGTCACGTCTTCTGGGGATGAGGTTACCGGGGATCGGCGGCCGTGGCGAGGCTTGGGCCCAGTCTGGCGGCTGCATGGAGCCTGGCTGCTGTTGCGGAGATGGCTGAGGTCGGTTGGTCGGTACTGCCGCGGGTGGAGGAGCACTGCTTGACGCGCCGTTGCTACTTGCATCCTGGAAAATCGAGAAGTTAGGAATTTTTCGTAGCCTTCTTAAAAACCCAAGATTTAGGTTGATTTGAACTTTTTTTTTGAAGTCTGTCTTGAATTTTTTTTTTGGAATTTTTTTTTTTTACCTTCCAGCTTCATTAGGTGAAGCGCAGATTTTTTTTAAAAGTCTAATTGAAGTCATTTTTTTGCTTGAGCCTTCCTAAAACAGATTCCAAGTCCCCCCTCCTCTTCTTAAAATAAGTTCTGGATTCATTTTTCTTGAATCTCTTTTAAGTCAATATTTTTTTCCGCATAGCTTTTCAATTTTTTCATTCAACTTTTCTTAAATCTCTCATCCAGAAATAATTCAAATTTCAGACCGTTTTAAGAGTTTTCTCGTATTTTCCCGTATCCTTACTTCATGAAAAATGTTCCTTCATTTTTTTTTCCTGATTTTTTTCACAAAACCGTTCAACTTCAATTTATTTCGATTCAAATGTTTCATTCCATGCTGCCTTTCATTTAAATCCTTCTTCATGATTTCCCTTTGAGACTGATCATTTTCGAGCCTAAGACGCAAAAATTACCTTTTTCCTCCTACCTAAACCCTTCAGGAAAGCTCCCAAAACCTTCTAGGACCTTTAAAAACCTCGAAAAGCTCAATCTCTGCCCTGGAACCCTCATAAAACCCCTAGAACCTCTCAGGAAACCAAAAAAGAACTGGCGAGGCAGAGAAGCAGAGAAAGGTCATTTGTGAAAAGCGGAAGGAAGGACGGGGGAAAAAGCGTGAATGAAGAGAACTAGGGAATTATTTGAGAGAACCGACCACCCCAAAAAAAAAAAAAGAAAATAGACGACCAATCAACAAACACACACACGCACTCATAGAACGCTCTCATTCGGCAAATCCCACGGAGATCTGTTTTTTTTCTTCTTGGTTATTTCTGGCCCACGTGACACGGGGGTTTCCCGTGTTTTTGGTGAAAAAGTGCCCTTTTTTCTGGAATTTTTCCCAAAAACTAATATTATTATTCTTTTGAACTTTTTTGGGCTCCTCTTGACGACTTCAAAGAGATTTCAAAATTGTCTCTGACTCTCCAAAATTGAGTTATATTTTTCACTGTCTGACGACTATTTTTCATTTTCTGACGGCTTTGATGGCATTACTTTTTTCCCAGTCTTTCCTAAAAAATACCAGCGTTTTTAATTTGAGTTTTAGCTTCTTTTTTTTCTGGCCTTCTTAAAATCCATATTGCCCAAAACCCGTTCTTGGTTAGAATTTTAATTTTTCAAAGGCTTTAGGTTTTTTTCTGCTTTTTCAAGTTTCACAATCCCTTTGTGGGCCGACTCTTTTTGGTCATAATCAACACGAAATTTCGCAAAACTGTACATAAACATCAACATGAATCGATTCGTCACTTTTCCAGACCATATTTCCAAACTTTTCCGTGTTTGCTGGACCGTTTTTTATAGAACATTTTTATGGCTCTGTCGCTTATTTTTCATTTTCCTGAGTGGATTCAGATCTGAATAATTGAAATTTTGCTCAAGATCTCACTGAACTTCTTTAGAAGGGATGAATTTTCAAAATAGCATATTCATCTTTAGCTTTAAAAAAATTCTAAATATAGTCTAGATTCAATTATTTTAGGTTTAGAATTCCCGGATTATTATTTTTTCTTTGCATTTCTCCTCCGTTTCTTTTTCTCTCGTTTCAAGCTTCTAGCTTAAACCTAAAGCTTCTGGATGGAGTCTAGAGTTTTTAGCTTACATTCAGAGTAGTCATTTAAGTGTAGGTGCATAAATTGTACCTTTTTCTCTCTCAAATTATAACCTTCTTTTTTTTCTCGGCACTCTCTCATTCCCTTTGAGCTTCTAGTTAAAGCTTCCAAGTAAAAAGTCCCCGAGTAACTATTTTTCTCTGCTCTCTCCGATCTCTGCCTAAAATTTGAAACTTCCAGGTTGATATTTTGAAACCCTAACGGCCGTAAATTACTGGAAAATGTTTCGTTTTCTCTAGACTCTCTCTCTATCTCTCCATCTCTCCCCCTCAGCTTCAAGTTGAAGCTTCTAGCCAAAGCTTCCAGGTAAAAAGTTCCCGAGTAACTGTTTTTCTCTGTTTCTCTCTAGACTCTCTCTCTTTCTCTCCACCTCTCCCCTTCAGCTTCAAGCTGAAGCTTCCAGGTAAAAAGTTCCCGAGTAACTTTTTTTCTCTGCCTCTCTCCAATCTCTCTCGCCCTCTCACTGGCACGTGTGTCGGAAAAGAGTCGGATCGTCAGGGCGCCAAATGACGTTGTCGGAGGAGGAGAGTGCGCCAAAAACCGACCCGACCCATCCATCCATCTTCAAACAATTTTCCCACGCTATCGGCTCGTTCTCACACCCGACACACACACAATAAACTCACGGAAACACAAACACTCTCTCACACACACAAGAAGAAGAAAAACACTCACAGAAACAGAGAAACACCACTCTTCTGACCACCAGCCAGCCGTTGGGTCCGTCCGTCCGTTCATACAAACAATCATTATTCCAAGACCACCCACACCTTTTTTTTCTCACTCGCCGATCTTTTTTCTCCAACTCAAACAGATCACACTTCGTTCTTTGTTCTTATTCGCAACTTCTCCGATAGTTCAAATGATCATTTTGTCAGACGCACTGATAATAGTCCATTGAATATTTTCAAGGCCCATCTCAAGTTAGTGCTCAAGCTAGCTGTATATGAACTATAATAGAAAAAAAATTATTATTTTCTCTGAATTTTTTTATAAATCAAAATACTAATATCCAAAACTCCCACTTATCCCACTCATCGTCTTTTTTTCGAACTTAAAAAAATTATATTTCCGTTCTCATTTGCAGCTCTCAAAGTAGGTTAACCGATCATTTGGTAAGACTTACCGATTGAAATTCCGAAAAAAAAATGGCCGGTCTGATTTGAAATAACCACTCTATCCACATCAGCTAAGCTCCGCTCAAAGTAATTTTCCTATTTTTCAAAATGATAATTTTTCAAAAATTCGAAAATCCTTAAAAATCACGCTGGCCGTGCTTAAAATACACTAGAATTTTGAACACAGCTTCAAGGATTTTCTCCATAGTTTCTACAGTAACTTAAGGCTTTTGTAAAATTAACTATAGCTTTGCTGACGCGATTCAGTTGATTTTAATGAAACTCTTGATGACATTTTTCGAAAATTATGATTTTTTTTTGAATTTGACAGAAGCTGGACTGGACATTTAATATTGCTTTGAAAATTTTTTCTCCTCAACCCAAAAATAACCTTTTTCCTCTCAAACCTCCTTCTATTTTTGAAAAATCGTAAATTCCGCCTTCTAAACATCAAATTTATTCAGATTCCCTCCTCCTTTCTCATAAATTCCCTGATCCAAAAAACCTTCTACATTCTGTACCTCAACCTTCAAAATCGCAAAAACCAACTTGAATCTCTCAAACCTATTCTAGTCCAACTTCTTATTGGCTCAAATTTTCTCCACTACTTGGAATTTCAAAGAGTCTACCAAGTGACACAAGTCCCATTACCCGAAACCTTCTCAAGCCGAAAAAGTCTCTGACACTCTTATTGAAACAATTGAAGACCTCAAAAAGAAGGGGGAGAAAAAAACCCTCAGAGGCTGCTCTTTTCCACCTCCATAATTCGTTGTGCATTCATTCAGTCCCTCGTCGAAGCAAGATTTTTCTGGCCTCGATGCGGCGGCGGGCGGGCGTCCGTCGGGCCTCTCTGGCGCTCTCCAAACCCCTCTTTCGTTTCAACACAAACGAACGAAATAGATGTGGTGGTGGTGGCGGGCCGACGGAGCGCACTTGCGTCGTTCTCTCGGTTCTCTGGCCGTCTCTCAATTCCATCTCTCTCTTTTCGGCGCGTCCCCAAGCGCAGCCAACCATCCATTCTTCTCCTTTCAATCGGCCTCCCCTTCTTGCAAACAGACAGACGAGGAGATAGTGTGCCGAACGGGGAGGGGCCGAAGGCCACGGCAGAGACGTAGGTTATTTGCATTCGAGAGAGTGCACAAAGCGGGGAGACGGCGTTCCGCACCACCGTAGTCCTGTCTGCGTCTTCAACTAGGCCACAGTCACTGCTCGTCGTCGCGTTAAGTAGGGGACGGACGAAGGACGCAAGGAGGAGGAAAAAAAAAACGAAGAAAGAAAAGGAACATGAAGAAGGATTGGGCAATCTCACTCATTGGCGTACTCTTTTCTTCTCTCTTTCCTGCGCACCGAACGTCTTTTGCGCAATAGGTGGACAAAATGAAGGAAAGGAAGTGGGAAAAAAAGAAGATTGAACTCATTATCATTTGGGGCGCGAAAGTCCAGGAAAAGATGGCCTTTGTATCTTTTTCCTTGGAGGAGGTTTTCTACGGAAAGTTATTATCATTGGGGCACGAAAGTTTACGAAAAATGGCCTTTTTCGGTAGAGGCATATCTTTGGTATTTTTCTACACAAACTTATTATCATTGGGGCGCGAAAGTCCAGGAAAATAAGCCTTCAGTCTGTTTCCTTAGAATAATCATATTTTTTTAGTATTTTTTTCTACAGAAACTTATTATCATTGGAGCGCATAGGTTCAAGAAAATGGGCCCTTCTTTGGAAAACGCATATCTTTCATGGTTTTCGAGAGAAATTCAATATAATTGGAGTGCGAAAAATTCGAAAAATCGCTCTTTTGAACTTCAAATTTTTTAAAAAGTACATGGGATTGGTTCCGCAATTTTCGGCCCCATCTAAAAGACGGGTGTTAGATTTTAGTCAGTTCAATCCCACGGCTTTAAACTTCCAAAAACTTGCGAAATAGTGCTTTTTTTGGATTAAATTGTCATTTAGGTACAACATTTCCGTTTCAAAACAAATAAACGTCCAAGGAACCAATAAAAAGCATATTTAATCCGAAATCCCGGCCTTTTTGAGCCTAAAAAAGCCGAACTTCACCGTTTTTCCACAAAATTGCTATAAATAAGTTCAAAAAAAGCGTTAATTAGCATCAAAAAAATCTGAAATTCACCCCGTAAAATAAGTAATTTAACCGTAAAAAGTTTTTTTGTCTCAATTTTTAAGTAAATTTTTTTCGAGAAACTCTCATATTTTAGCATTAATTCTCTCATAGGAGGGTTCAAAAAGCTCAAAAAAATTCAAAAATTGAGCTTTTTTTCCAAGACAAACTTCAACGTTTTCAATGATATTATGTCCATAAAAAACCTTGAACCTTCCAAACTTTACACAAAAAATACAACCTTTCCGTGAAACTCGTCCAACCAAACCTTAAAAAAAAATTCCAATCTTCCAAATTTTTCTACGATTATCACCAGACCAATCTGTTGACACTGCCCTTCTAATCAGTAGAAAGTCGGTCAGAAAACCTCAAAAAAAGTCCAAAAAAACTTCTTTCCGACGCCTTTAAAGCGCAAACAAATCGGACGTGATAACATCGTCGAAACGGTGCAGGAAAGTGGGAAAAAGTCAAAAAAAAAAAACGGTTTCGTCTCATTTACGTGGACAAACAAAAGAGAGGATTATAGTAAGGGAAATCACCTGGAAAACTTCAGAAATTTACCAAAAAATGGTGAAAATTTCAAATTTTTTCAGATTCTATCCGAAATTTTCAGAACTTGAAGCATTACAAGGTTGAAAAACTACCCTTTTTCCAGTAAAATCAAATTTTATCTCCATATTTTTGTACCCAAGCCGTTTATTTAAGATTTTCTCAGTTTAAAAAAATGATCTCATCCATTTTAACACATATTTTTGAAAATAATGCTTCTATTCGCGAAAAATCTTGTAAAACTGAATTTTTTCTGGAAATTCTACAACAACTTTTGACTTGGGCAACACATCTTTTAATTTTTTCCGAAAATGTCGATCCTGACTATTTTTAACCGACTTTTCTGATTCTCGAAAAACAATATAATCTTCTGGAAAAAAATAGTTTTTTTCACTTAAAAAAATCTATTTATAAAAAAATATGGCAAAAATATCTACCTTCCAAAAAAAGAAATTTCCATTTTTTTCTTCGTCATTTTTCACTAGTAATGATTCGAAAAATTACTCTGCCGAGATTTAAAAAAATCCCAAAAAAATATAATTTGATACAAAGTCTCTACTAGGGTTCATTACTGTACCAAAAAATGTCAAAATCTGAAATTTTCGAATTTTTTTCGATTTCAAACGTATTTTACAGTCCTATCTTTAGATTTAGATGTACATAAATGCGCTAAAAAATCCGTTAAAGCTGAAAAATTGAACATATTTTCGTGAAACAGATCGTAAATGCCTGAAAACCTAGTTTTCTGACAAAAAATAGGAAAAATTAGGCCTAAAAACCAATTTCAAGTAACGCTTGTACACAAAATGACAGTTGAAAACTTAATTTTTCGTTTTTTCAACAGCATAACTTTTTAAAAACAGTAAAGGAAGACAAAAACTTACTAAAAATCCAGTAGAAAGCTTGAAAAAAATGAATTATCAAGCCAAAACTTGGTTTTGAAGCAAAAATGTTTAATTTCGAGCTTCTTTTGGACATTTTTCTACGTTAAACATATGGACTGAAAACTAATCCAATATATCAAACTCATAAAATTAAGCCAAACTATATACTAGAAACTTCTAGAACCCAAAATTCAGTACCAAAATGCAGCAGAAAGTCTTTGTTTTTCTGTATTTTTAGGGAATTTCTCAAGCCAATAAAAAAGGAACTTTCTGAGAGATTAGCCCACGAAAAACAAAACGAAAAAAGTAGACGACAATATTTGCTCGGAGCGGTCAGATAATGAGAGGAAGGGGGTGAGAAAAACGCTTGTTTTTTTTCTGTTGATTCTATTAATTTGGTCGTTTTTTCGATCTTTGTTCGGTCAAAAAGAAGGGAACCTCCTTTTAAAAATTGATAAACAAAACTGGAAGGCGGGAAAAAATGGGGTTCAAAACGTGAGAAAATAAATATTTTTCAAGTATCCCAACCATATCAAATCCTTAATCCTACCAAAACTCAAGCATTTAAAAAATGATCTCAACAAAATTAAAAGAAAATTCCAACCTGTGAGGGATCGGGACCTGGTCCACCGTCTTCACTGGACATTATCCACGCAGTTTTCCTTCAATTTTCGGTTTTTTCTGCGCTTCTATTCTATTCTTTTGCAATGTAACATACGACGATCACTGAAATGATACACAATTTTGACGAGAAACGAAAGCGATCGAGCAAAAAGAAAGTTTAAAAAGGAAAGAGAGAATTTCTAGCTTTGAAAGTTGATTAACAAGCCAAATAAGAAAGTCAAAACATTCAAAATAAGAGTAGAACTTTAAAAAATGCAAGCTTTAGAAAAAAGAGTTCGAAACGCCAAGGCCTTGCGTGCTTGCGGACACAAATTAGCACACGCCTAATTGCACACTCCAAACTTTTTTAAAAATTTGAAATTTGTCGAAATTTCGTTCTTTTTAATCGTTTTCTTACTCATTATATGTTCATAAACGTTCAAATACACTTTGATAATAAGATTTTTTTTTAGCTGAAGTCGATTCGCGCCCTGGAATCCCAAAAAAACTTTCAAACGGTGAGTATTTTTTTAATTCATTTTTTTTCTTCTTTTTGAATATTTGAAGTGAAGAAAGATGGCTCGTAATGTCATAAATTCTAGATAATCAAGGAAAAAAAGCAGAAAATCGAGGAAAAACGAATTAAATTCAAGGAATGAGGTCAATTATTTTTTTGAAATAAAATTTTGAACTTATAGTCGATTCTTTTCACAGAAAAATATATCTAAAAAAGGTCTTTTTCGGCTTTTTTTAGCTGTTAAATAGGCTATTTCGAAGGGCTCGAGTAGAATTAAGTTAATTTTTTTCAAGTTCAAAAATCGACAGGGTCAAAAAAATTACCGATATTTAATCTTTGCGCTTTTTCAATAGTTTATTTTTGTAAGTTATTCATTTTTTTAGGCTTTCAAAAAAATTATTTTTTTAGCCTAATTCATGAGGTCCTTCTGTTCATTTTCGGTATGTAAATTGAATTTTTCAAAGAATTTGCAATCCAAAAAGGTACGACTCAAGTTGATAAGTACTTCTAGTCTTATAGGAAATCATCAAAAAGTTTTAAGCCAGGAATCTGAAAATCAAACCCTAAAATGATCGCTTAAAAGTTCGGTTTCCCCGGAAAAGTCAAAAGTAAACAGCGAATCATATGGTCACTTAACACACACTCACACACGCATAAATTAGATTGTCGGTGGGAAAAAAAAAAACTATAAGGGAAATAGTGAGAGAGTGGTAGAGAAACGAGAGACAAACAACAATAAGATAGGAGAGACCCAAAGGAACATCAACCAAAAAATGATGGCGGAAAAAAAAAACATTGAAAACGGCAAATTTGCTCGAGGCAGGAGGGGAAAAAAACGCTCAAACTCACGGCGTTTTTGGTTGGAAAGGCAAGGAGGAAAAAAAAACACAGAGAGATTCAAAAAATTGGGTTCTTTTTGGTGTGTGTGTGTGTGTGTGGGAGAAGGGTTTTGGTGGCCGTGGACACAGTGGGAGAGCGGCCTCGTCTCTCGTGTGTCTCCGCCTTTGCGTTTTTCTCTCTAGGGTCTCTCTGTTGGTCGCCACACCCACTATCGATCCATTCTCCAACACCTCGTTTCTGGCCAGGTCCTTCTCGAAGAGAGAGAAAAACGGTACTTTTCAGGTCCTGAATCGTCAAGTTCTGGGCGAACAGAAGTTTGTATCATCCTTCTTTTTTTTCGTCGCGGTGAACATTTCAAATCATCCTCTCTCTCCGCCATCATTTCCGGCTGGTCACTATCTTCAATAACAGATTTTCTGCGGCTCGCGGCGCACCACCCTCCGTTTTCGGCGCGCTCTCTCGCCCGTCGACTCGCAATTACGACGCCGCTCTGCGCCCGCATCGTATGACACCGGGCTGCTCCGCGGGTGTGAGCGCTCTCCGGCTCGTTGTCTCGGCGCCTCCGCGAAGCGGCACGCTATTTCGTCGGCACCCTCCGCCGTTTCCCATGCTATTTCCGGAAAGTGTTGTCGCCGCCGCCGAGACGAGCCGTTTTTCTCGGGCCTCTCCACGGCGTCGGCGGCGTCGTCGACGAATGGGATAAGAGACGAGAGAGTGTGCGGAACGAGGAGGGCGTCGCAGAGGGAATTATTTCCTTCCAGCGGCATCCAACACACACGCTTAATTTAGTTGCAGCAGCAGCGGCACACACACACACGCCTTTTCGGAACGTGTTTAGAAAATGAACGTTTAACAGCGAAAAATAACATTGGATTTGAAAGCCGCTTTAAAAAAAACCAAAAAAAAATCGATTATTTAGCTTTGAAGCTGAATATTTCTTTTTCTAACGCGATTAGATTCGATTTTTCTTTTTAAAAACTCCTTTTCGAAAAGCTTTTCAATAAAAAGAGCGTGGAAATAAGAACTTTGACGCTTTCTACAGCTATAAATTGATATTTCTCAAACTTTAAACTTCATTTTAAACATTGATTTTTTGGCAAATACCAAATTTGTCTTGTAATCTCGTTCCAACGATACATTTGACCTAAAATATTTTGAATTTTTCGTTTTCCCGCCAAAAAATTACTTCATAGTCAAACTTCAACGATAAATTTAGCCCGAAAATTCAAAAATTTCTAATTTTCCCGCCAAAAATCCACCTCGTAGTCCAACTTTAACAGTAAATTTAGCCCGAAACTTCAAAAATTTCTAATTTTCCCGCCAAAAATCACCCTCCCAGATCTATTTCATTACTAAACTTGATTCCAAAACTTCAAATATCGTCATTTTTCCGCTCAAAAATCTCGTTCTAGCTCAATTTTTCCCATTTTTCCAGCCAAAAATGGCGGATCCTGAACCAGAGGACCCTCCAATAAAGACCCTGAAGCCATTTCCTACAATCAACAACCCGGAAAACTTCTCCCTGATCGATAATAACGAGAAAAAGGTGAGTTTTAAAGCCAAGAAAAATGAATTAGGCATTCCAGAGTGGTCCCTATAGGGTTAGGAGGAAAAACAGCCCATAAAGAGGCCGAAAAAGTGGTCCTTATAGGGGAAACCAAGGTGGTACCTATAAAGGTTTAGGGTCTGATTCCTTAGCCCTTAAAGCTTAAGTGGTCCCTATAGGGGTCATTCATTTTCATCCAAAAAAGGTTATTTTTTTAATTTTTCGCATGGAAATGCTTCTTCGCAGAGTTCATCGACTAGCATGTCCCCTCTAGGGACCACTTTTGAAGGCTCAAGTGGCCCCTTTAGGGTTTGGTAAAATGGCCCCTAGACCTTATAAGGACCACTACGAAGCTCCTAGTCTTGTAAAAACATGAATTTTTCATCAAATAATGAATTTCAGGCCAAAAATGAGACTAAAATTTCTCAAAAATCAGCTTTTCTCCGTTTCTAATGAATTGGTATCATGTGAAAATCTGTTTTTCTCCGCTAAAATTTTAGGATTTTTCAAAAAACAGCCCGTTTTTTGAATTTAATAGTAAAAAAAACTTTGAAACTTGATAAATATATAGCTGTTCAGGTCAAAAAAATGGGTAAAACTAAGAATTTTTTTTATTGAAAAAAACGGATTTTCCGCTCAAAATTAATTTTTTTCAGTTTACTATCGATTTTTTTATCATGTAAGCTTCCGTTTTGTCGCCAAATTTTTTTAGAAATTTAGGAAAAAAATGACCTTTTTTTCAAGTTTGATTAGGAAAAAAAGTGGGGGAAATAATGGGAATTTCACTTCTTCTGTTTAAAAAAAGCTAATGAAATTCTTTTTTTCGTATAAATATTCAGAAATTTAGGAAAAAAACAATCTTTTTTTCAAGTTAGAAAAGAAAAAAATGAGAAAACCCCACATTTCCATTCAGAAAATGAGTATAAAATGAGGAATTCATTTTTTTTCCGCTTAATAATTTTCAAAATTTCAGGTAAATCTCAGAAGAGACGGTGTGCTCAAAATCCACATTGCCGACGTCTCAAAATGCTTAAAAATCCGGAAGGACCCGACTCCGTGTATTCTACGGTATCTGGAGACGAATTTCCAAATCGGGGTGAGTTTTTGAAACTAGAAAATCGGAAAATTCTTCATTTTTTCGAATTTTATCGTCTTTTAATGCTATCAAATTGAAAAAAATCTGAAGAAAAATTTTGAAAAATTCCTCTCAAAAAAATCGGAAAAATTAGTAATTTTATATGAGCTCCTTACATAGTTGCATCCTGCTTGGGTATTTTTTTAATTGAAAAATTAATTAAATAAATTTTTTTACCTCACTCTCAAATAACTTTGTTTAAAGTCTGTCCTATTGAAACTTCAATTTTTGATTTTCCAATTAAACTGAACACTTTGAAGTCCTGAATTCGACTTCACTAAACTATTTTAAGGCCTAAAATCCTGGTTCAAAAGGGTCTAACTGACCCAAAAAATCAATCTGTACCTAAGTTTTGTCCAGCTTTAAGCCATAAAAAATTCAATTTCTCCAACAAAAGAAAATCTTATGATGGATTTATGTCCTGACAAGCTTTGTTCATAGTTTGGTCTCCGAAAAAAACCGAAGTTTGATCTCAAAATTGAGCTTAACTGTCCTTTCTTGTTTTTACTTTACTCAAGTCTTATAAGGCTTTAGTCGGGCTAAAATTTTGCTTGATAAGGTCTAAAAAACCAAAAAATCTGTATCTAGGTCTTGACCAGCTGTTTGTTTATAGTTTGGTCTACAGAAAAACCAACTTTTCATTTTTTTTAATTTAGCTGAACTTTTTTCAAGTATTCAAATTTGACTGAATTTGAGCCCTGTAGGGCTTTAGGCGGGTTTAAATCCTCCTTTATGAGGTCTAACTAATCTCAAAAGTCTGTACCTAAGTCTTGACAAGGTTTGTTTATAGTTTGGTCTCCGAAAAAAACAAATTCCTATCTTTAAATTGAGCGTAACTCACCTAAGATTTTTTTTTAATTTGGTGGAATTTGAGCCCTGTAGGGCTTTAGGCGGGCTTAAATCCTCCTTTATGAGGTCTAACTAATCCCAAAAATCTGTATCTAGGTCTTGATAAGTTTTGTTCATAGTTTGTTCCACAAAAAACTTCAACTGAGAACTTTTATTTCGAGCTCAGTTGTTCCAAGTTCTTCAATTTGACAGTACTGTAGTCCTTGAAGGCTTTAGACGGGTCAAAATCCTGATTTATCAGGTCTAACTGATAAAAAATCAGTACCTAGGTATTGTCAAGTTTTGTTCATAGTTTAATCTACGAAAAAACCAAAGTTTGATCTCAATATTGAGCTAAACTGCTTCAAGTTCTTGATTTTACTCTACTTTAGTCTTGTAGGGCTTTAGGCGGGCTAAAACTCTTTTTTACAAGGTGTTACTAATCTAAAATTTGCACCTAGTTCTTGAAAAAGTTCTTTTTTTATGGTTTGGTCTCTACAGCAAATATGAATTTTGAATCTCAAAAGTTCAATTATTTTTTTCAAGCTAAATAAAATCTTTCAATCTTCAGAAAACCTAGGCTTTGCAAAAGTTCCAGTCATATTTAAATCTTCAGGAACTTTTTTTCAAATTGAGCTCAATTTTCTCAAGCTCCAGCTACGAAAATTTCAAACAAAGCAGAATGTTAAAAATCCCGGAAAACTGGTCTTGACAAGCAGCTTGTAGTTTGGACTCCAAAAACCAACGTCAGATCTTTAAATTGAGCTGGACTCTTCCAAGTTCTATCTTTGGAAAAATTTACCTTTTTTTCCCAAAAAAACATAAAAAACGACAACTTTCAAACTTTACAAGCTTTAGTTTATCATCTACAGAAAAATCGATTTTTTTAATTTTCAATTTGAGCTGGACTACGCTTCAAGTTCGGACCATAACAATTTCAATTTTTTTTTTCTCTCACAATTTTCGGAAACCTAAGTTTTGAAAAACTTACACAAACTCAATTTTTGATCTCCAAATTGAGCTGAACTGATCCAAATTCTAGCCATGGGAAAGACTCCAAAAAAAAAACATACAATTTCAGAAAACCGAGGACGAAACGGCGGATGGCCGCAAACGCAAGGAAGAATCGAGCGAATGCAACGTGCCCACGAAAAAAAATAAAAATGAATAATCGAAGGAAAAAATCAGATAATCGCAGTATTTTTGTACATTCTTGTCATAAAAAGTTGTCGTTGAGAAAAAGAAATAACTTTAATTGGTGCTTCAATAAATTTGTACGAAGTTTTAAACATTTCTTCTTCTTCAAGCTCTGAGGAGACGGCTTTCGCGTCGTGGCGGGCAGTCGCAGTACTCGCCGTCTTGTCCGTGGTCGCCTTGGAGGCCGGCCTGGAAGTTGTAGTTGATCAGAATCAAGAAAATCCGTTTTTTTTTAACATTTTCATAAATCAACTTCTAGGGTTGAAATTCAAAAGTTAGTCTTACAGTATCAACCTTGAAGGCAGTCCTGAAAGCTGTAAAGCTGTAGTTGATCATAATTTGAAAAAAAGTAATATATTTCAAAAAACTTTCCAAAAAAATCAAATGCCACCGTTACATTTCAAAATAGCCTTAAAGTGTGAACCTTGGAGGCCGGCCTGAAAGCTGGTGTTGATCAAAGTCATGAAAACGTCTATTCTAAAAAATTTTCTGCCATAGTTACTGATTCGTTACCAACCCTCTAAATTTAAATCATTGTTAATAGTTTCAAAAGTAGTCTCAAAGGGCCATCCAACCTGAAAGCTGGAGTTGATCATAATTTTAGAAAATTAGCCTTTTTTTGAACTTTTTTAAAAATCTTACTGTCATAGTTACTGATCTGATACTAACCTCACACAATTTTCTATGGTTTTTAACTTTTCAAAAGGTTCCTAATAAATTTCAAATTCTCAACATTATAGGTCGGCCTGAAAGCTGGAGTTGATCATAATTTGAAAAAAGTAGTATTTTCTTGAAATCTTTTCAAAAATCAACTGCTAGGGTTACATTTCAAACAAGAGACTTAAAGTCTGAACCTTGGAAGCCGGTCTGAAAGCTGGTGTTGATCACAACTCAAAAAAATCGAACCCTTTCAAGAAGAAAAATATTTCTTCCAGTAATAACTTTTCTAATGGACCCTTATGTACGACAGATTAGAACACAAGAAAAAAAAATACCATTCCGGGGTTTCCAGGATGCCCGGAAAGTCCGTCCAATCCCTTCTCTCCGACTCGGCCTTGCGGGCCGGGCTTGCCCAAGCGGCCGTGTTGGCCGTTTCGGCCGGGAGCTCCTCGTTCTCCACGGGCTCCACATCGTCCAGGGGCTCCGGGAGCTCCACGGCCAGTGACACAGTCTTGACCTCGCTGGCCTGGCATTCCCTGGAAATTTCGAACATTTTTTAGGCCGAATTGCAAAAAACCGCTCATTATCCATATTGCCGACATTAAAATGCTTAAAAATCCAAAAGAATGTGACTTCGGGTGTTCTACAGTATCAGGAGAAGGATTTCGAAGAGTTTCAGAATGAAAATAAAGAAAAAGCCGTTGAGAAATGTGCAGAAAAACGTTACAGACCGAAAAAATGACCCCTATAAGTGTAAAACTGAGGTGGTCCCTATAGGGGTTCAGGGTCTGACCCCTTAGCCCTCAGAGCTCAAGTGGTCCCTATAGGGGTCGTTCAATTTGTTCAAAAAGGGTATTTATTTAATTTCTCGCATGGAAATGCTTCTTAGAGCTCATAAAAATTCTCGACCAGAATGTCCCCTATAGGGACCACTTTTGCAAGCTCTAGTGGCCCCTACAGGGGTTGGTAAAGCGGTCCCTAGAGGGGCCCCTAAGGTTTCCCTATAGGGATCTCTATGGAATTCCTTAGGAACACTCTTTGACGTGCCAGAAAAAAAGTTCCAGAAATCTCAACATTCCAAACTTTCTCTCATTTGCAAGAAAGGACACCTGAAATCGAAAGGAAAACCTTGAAAATTTGTTAAAATGGGGGTTCGAACGCTTATTTACCAAAAAAACTAGGAAGTTGTGTAGGTTGAGACTTTCTGAACCTTCTTCTGGTCCATCAAGGAGTGTTCTGGCCAATTTCAGAGAATTCCCCCTATCAGTCCTTTTTCAGGCTTCAAGCCATCTTTTCTGGAAATTCCTTCAAAAAATCACCGGCTGTCCGTCCTGCCCCCGCTCTCCCTCGCTTCCGATCGGTCCAGGCTCTCCTCGTTCTCCGTCATCTCCAGGCGCTCCGCGTTTTCCGGGAACTCCGTCTTTTCCAGGCAGTCCGTAGTGGCCTTGAGCTCCTGGAGCTCCTGGCGGACCCGCCGGACAGACGATACATCCTTAAAAAAGCATCGATTTTAAATTTTTATAGTGATACTTTTGTATGTAACTGCGTCACTAGATGCAGTTTTTCACGCTGAATCCAAATCTGAGCTCAAAACCGGCCCAAGTTGTCAATGAGAAAAGTTATGAGCGACAAAAGTTAGAAAAAAGCCTTTCCGATATATTGATTGGTATAAAGTTGGCTGAGGTAACTACAGAAAAGCTTTTTCTCTCAAAAAACTTGAACATGGCTTGTTTTTCGCGTTTTTAAGGCATCTTAGCGATTAAAAATGTACTGATCTTTAAGATCTTTGAAATTTGAGCGCTCAAATCATACATGAAATGAGTGAGCCTGGCGTCAGCCAAGCCCCCCACCCCGAGCCAGAGCCAAGTCTCATTTTGCACACCTAAAAAAATTTTTTTGATGTCAAGTCCCCCACAGTTTGCGGCCGAACCGAGGTTATTCCAAGTATAGCCCTAATATTTTCTCAAAAAAACTTTTTTTAATCCATTTCAACTTGAAATTTTTCAAGCCACGGATTCAAAATCACCCGGGAAAATGTAATTATTGATTATATTCTCACTTAATAGCCAAAGTTTAATATTTTTACTTTCAAAGGGCTTTTTAACGATTGATACTTTTTTGATTTCAATGATTTTTTTGAAAATATGTGATCAAAACTGGGCTAAGCGTTCGATAAAACAAGCTATTGTCGATAAAATCTGAAAAAAATTCTCTTTTGAACGAGTTTTTTTCTTGTAAGGTAGATAAAGCCGGTATCCATTTTTTAAAAAAAAAGTCGAGGACGATTTTTCAGACTTTTTTACATGTTTTAGGGCTTCTTAGCGACGGAGACTGTACTTTTTGAGACGGATTTATTGTTAAAATTTGAGCGCCCAAAAACTTTTTTAAAAACTTTTTCAGCCACAGATTCAGAATAACCCAGAAAAACTGCATTCATTGATTCTATTCCTACTAAAAAGCCAAAAATTAAGATTTTCAGCTTTTCTTCATAGCGATTTGTATTTCGAAAAATCGAAAAAACACATTTTCGACCAAAAATTCAAAATCAGTGTGAGAATCTGCATCTAAATCTTTTTCAAAAATCAATTATAAAGCTGACAATTGTACTGGCAAGCCTCACCTCTCTGTCTGGTATGATGGACAGGAATCCGGAGGCCGAGCAGGCCTTTCGGGCCGTCTTTTCCGTCGGGTCCGATCGCTCCGGGCTCTCCGGGACTTCCGGGGGCTCCTTTGGGACCCGCAGGGCAGTCGCGTTTCGGGACTCCACAGCCTGAATTTTGTGAAGTTATTCAATCCAGGGTAAGCAAGGAAGACTTTTTGCGGTTTCAAAGATGATTAAAACGCTTGAGGAACACGGAAATATGCTTAAAAAAAGTTCATAAAACTCCAAATAAAAATCAAATATGTTTCTCAAAAAAACCTCCGAAATTTCTTTTAAAAAAATCGCATCAAAAATTTTTTTCAAATGCGCTTGAAATAAGTGAAAAATGAAATTCCTTTCAAAAATCTATCGATAAAGAGAAAAAATACACAAAATGACAAAAAAAAGAAATATAGCCGATTCACGGGTAGCTCAGGAGCCGAACGGGCGTGACTTGTCTGCGCTCTCCACCAATCAGGAACTATCTCCTTTTTCATCGTGTCAGGACTTTTTTTTTCAATAAGCCCGCCGTGAATCAGCTATAACGCAATATTTTCAATGACCTAGTGAAGTCTAGGGCTTCAGAAGTCGCGCCAGGTCAAAAATGATCTAGAATTTGGCGCAGGTCAAATTTTCTTTTCTGAACTAGACAAGTCTAATTTTCATCAAAAAGATATAGTCTGTTCAGATTTTGAATGTCAAGTGCAATGACGTCATTCAAAAACACTCTGTGGATGGCTCGCTCTCTGATTGGTTTATTGCACCATTATGGGCGGAGCTTCAGCAGCGACTTGACTCAAAATCTGAACAGACTATATTTTTTGAATTCATTCTGGAGAAATCAGGTTCCTAGAAGCTCAGTTACAATTTTTTCAATGATAACATCTGTTTTTTTTCTTTTCATATACAAGTATAGCTGATTCCGCGACCGCTTGTCACTTTTTTTATTCTGCCAAAGAGACAATATGCCAAAATGGATCTATAGCTGATTCACGGCCAGCTTGAAACGCTAAAGGGGCGCGTACTGTCTGCGCTCTCCACGAGCCACGTGCTATCTCGTGTATTATCGTGTCAGGACCATTTTTCTGATGGCTCAAGCCAGCCGGGAATCAGCTATAATGAGACCCCAAAGATCTTTGATTTACTGTCTTTTTTGCAGTTTCGTATGGTAAACGTGCAAAAGAAGCTGTTTTCATTTTTGTTTTATTTTGAAGGTGACCGTCCTGCGCGGGAAGCATTTTTGTTTTTTTGATAAGCTCCAAATGATCTTTTTAGCACTTATCATGAAAAATACTATTTTTGTGTGATTTTGCGCATTTTTTTCAAATTTAGTTCAAGCTTCTAGAAAGAAACTGACTGCAAGTGCTGGCTCGCTTGTTCCGTCCACGGATTATCGAAGCGAAAGGCTGTGGGGACTCGGTTTGGCCGTTTTGAAGGGCCATCATCTCCTCCCAGGAGTTGGAAGCTGCCGTCTGAACAGTTCAAAGTTTTGATTCAAAGCTGATCTTAATGGAAAATCATTTTAGTTAAAGTTAACAGAATTACCTTACAAGGATACGTTTTTTATGAAATCTGAGCTAATTTTTGGATTTTATTCTTATATCCTCAAATCATCTGAACTTTAGAGAAGCATTAACTACTACAACAGAAAAAGTCTAAAAATCTCTGAAATAAATCAGAAAAAAATCATTTTTTTTGTTATTAAAAGACTTCCTGATGTAAATCCAAAGCGTAATCCCGAATTTATATCCAGAATAAATTACGATTTCTTTTTAAAAACCCATCATGAACGAAGCCTAGGACATTCATAATTAACTTAAAGCTATGCGAGAAAGACAAAAAAAGTATAAATAAAGATTATTTTTGACACAGTCTATCACTACAGAAAAAAAGTTTTTTTGTGTCAAAAAAATTTTTTTCAAAAACCGACCCTAAACTCGTAGATGTGCTGCATGACGTCGTCGCGCATCCCTTGAATGTCGCGGGCGATGACGAGCGCCGCGATGGCGCAGGCCAAAATCGTCGCCGACGACGCAGCCGTCGCCACATACACGGCGGTTCTTGACATTCTTCAAAAAAAAAATATAATCAAATAATTAATTATTTAACTAATTAACGTGGACATTTGAATAACTGAGGACGACAAATTTTCAACTGAAGAAAGTAAAAACATTCCCTAGTGAGTACCAGCTTTTTATTCGAAAAAAACTTTCCACCTCCTATAATTTTTTTATTATAAATTTCGAATTGCAACATTTAATTTTCACAAATACAAAAAAAGGATTAAATAAAAAGGCTCAAAAAAAAATTCCTGGGACCGCTCTGTGCGGTCAGCTGTGTTGGCCGCAAACACCGTGACGCAAATATGAACCATCCATTCAAAATTTAGCGAAAAGCAATTTTTACATAATTTTTAGGTTATTAGTAAGTGAAAACGGATTGATCAATTTTATCAATAGTAGGGTTAGGCTTTTGAAAAAGGCACATATGAATATTTTTCCATCCTTTTTGAGCATTTTTGAAAACTTGATGAATTCCTAGAGGGTCCATACTACGATAAATTTTCTAAATCGTACTACGATAAATTTTCTAAATCGTACTACGATAAATTTTCTAAATCGTTAAAAGTTATTGAACAGACCAGACACCAACAAGATTATTCTTTCGAAAAATGGGTAAAATTGTGATTTTCCAAAAAAGGCGGTACAAATGAGCGATTTTCCAGCCTTCAATTAGAGATTTTAAAGCACTTTTTTGAATCTGATCCAATAGTTTTTATTCATTTTTCTTTTTTACATGTCTTTATGTGTTCTGAAGAGTCGAAAAATCGAAAAAATCGGGGGGTCGTCGCTAAAAAACCCGAGTTTTCAAATAAATAAATCTTTTAGGTTCGTTTTGAGTAGAAATTCGGAATCAACGTCATTAATTATGTTATATCACATCGTCATTTTGTCCATGAACGGCGCGAAATAGAAAAAGAAAAAAAAAAGGTTGGCAGAAAGTGGGCGTGGCTTTGCGTTCCCTACCTTTAATGAACAGTTCTAGGAAACTTGAACATTCCTAGGGATTCCATCCAAGGTTTTTTTTTCTCTGAATTTGAGGCAAAGGGCTGGTCTTAGTGTTTTTTAGATCAGGAATTAATATAAGAGCCTCAAAAAGCAGAATAATTCCTTTGAAAAATGGATAAAATTGTGATATTCCAAAACAAAGGCGGTACAAATGAGCCATTTTCCAGCCTTTAATTAGGGACCGCAAAGCAGTTTTTGAATCTCATACGGTAGTTTTTCTTATTTTTCTTTTTACACGACTTTATGTGTCCTGAAGAATTGAAAAAAATCGAAAAATGAAGGGGGGAGAGGGATCGTCGTTAAAAAAACCCGAGTTTTTTTGAAAAAAAGGTTCGTTTTAGATTCGTTCTGAGTAGAAATTCGGAATCAACGTCATTTATTATGTCATATCACGTCGTTCTTTTGTCCATAAACGGCGCGAAATAGAAAAATTTTAAAAAAACGTTGGCAGAAAGTGGGCGTGGCTTTGCGGTCCCTCTCTTTATTGCCGTGTTCAATTTGATTCCGCGAAATGCAAATTAACCGTTAGAGAAAGAAAAAGATCACTGAATTTTGGAGAGTCAGAGATCATTTTGCATTTCGCGGAATTTAAATTGAACACGGCATAAGGAACAGTTTTAAGAAACTTTGAGGATTCCTAGGGATTAATTTACGTGATTTCTAACGGCCCAGGATTTCGGAACAGACAAGGGAATCGGACAAAAACGAAAATAATCAAGCGAAAAATCGAGGAGAAGTGGCTTTTGAGGCCAAATCCTGGCCGTCGCTTTTATACCGACCGTCGGTATCTGATGGCTTCTATCGATGGTCCAATTAAGGGTGACAGACGCCAACTTTTCGCCTGGATGCTTTTCAGTTTTTGGCGGCGTTTAAGGTCGCCGCCGCCGACGTCTCCGGAACTGGAGCGCGTCTACTTTTTTTTGGGTTGGGGTTCTTTGGAGGGAGATTAACGGCCACAGTTCATCGAGTTGTTTGATTTATGAAGAAATGAAGATTTACGATTGACAAGAAGACTTTCTGAGGTGAAAAAAACGTGACAAAGGCTTAGTTTTAGCTAATAATGTTATATGGGAAGCCATTGACTTTAAATATCTAAAATTTCAAAGAAAAGAGTTTAAAATGTATGTTGAGCCCTTTTCTCGCTAAAGTACGCCTTTCCTTCCAAAACCGAGCCCCTCGGAAGTATACAACATGAAAAAGATAAGAAATGACAGCCCCAAGTCGTAAAATTGTTTAGGAACGCGCCATGAAGCAATCAACAAGTGTAGGTCGGACAAAAGAAAATAAAAAGCTCAAAAAAATCCTCAAATGAAAATTTTAGAAGCTTGAAACATTACCAAGCATTGTGAATAATAAAAGTTCAACTCAGTGAAATATTCTTGAAGATTTCAGAAACTTATCAGTGCCTTGCCAATTTCTTCAAGATTACCGTGGAAACCTGATACCTTATAAACTCAATCATTACCTTCTTAGGTTATTTTAACGAAAATCATCTCTTCCTTTGTTGAAAAAGCTCTGAATTTCAGTTCAAATAGTGCCTTTTAGACTTTCCCAGCTTCTTCTTGTGGCTTTCTAATAATTTAAACTTGAAAAAGTTGTAGACGGCTCAAATTTGATAGGCTTATAAATTTAATCAACTCCTTTATTCTCTTAAAAATAGTTCCTTCCTCCTTTATCAATAAAGATTTGAGCAGCTTGAAACTTTAGTTCGAAAAAAATAATTTTTTTGTGCTTCCTCAGCTTCTTCATAAAGCCTTCTGACATTAAAAAAGCTATAAAAAGTTGAGTTTTCTCAAATTGTACACTTAATCATGTTAAAATTTTTATTCTAAAAACCCCTCTTTCTTCATCGACTAAGACGAGGAAGACTTGAATAAAATTTCAGAGCTTTTCCAGCTTTTTCACAAGGTTTCTCGACGTAGAGAAGTTGCTCTCTCGGCTCGAAATTTGGCAACTTATGAACTCAATTTCAATCTTCACAAGGTCTTTTTTTACGCCTCTGTACCGCTTGGCGCCCCAAATCGATTAGCCTCATCATGTTCTGATATCCGTGATAATCAGTGGAACTGTACTGGCTCTAGAGACTTATCCGTCCTTGTGTGTGTGTGTGTGTGTGTCTTGTCTATTACACCCAATCAAAACCTTTTTCAAAAATCATCTTTATTTTTGCTAAGCTTCTTCATGAGACCCGTTTATTCCCACTATCAACTTTTCTCAAACCGATAGGTTGGGCCGCGTCAGGGATTGAACTCGCGACCCTTTTGACCATAGACAGGAACACAAACTGTTGCGCTACGGCTTGTCTATAAAACCCAATCAAGGTCTTTTTCAAAAATCATCCTGTTCTTTTCTCAGCTTCTTCATAAGGCCCGTTTATTCCTACTACCAACTGTTCTTAAACCCCTAGGTTGGGCCACGGGAATCGAACTCGCGACCCTTGGGACCGTAGACAGGCCCACAACCTGTTGCGCTTTGGCTTGTCTATTACACCCAATCAAAGCCTTCTTCGAAAATCATCCTTATTTTTCTCAGCTTCTTCATAAGACCCGTTCATTCCTACTACCGAACTTTTCTCAAACCCCTAGGTTGGCCCTTGGATCGAACTCGTGACCCTTTGAACCATAGACAGGTCCACAACCTGTTGCGCCAGGCGCGCCTTTTACGCCCTTCTCTAGTTATTCTCTCGAAAAACATCCTCTTCTTCGCTCAGCTTCTTCATAAGACCCGTCTGTTCCTAACACCAAAATTTCTCGAACCCCAAGTCGGGCCGCGGCGGGGTTCGAACTCGTAACCCTTCGGACCGTAGAGAGGAACACAATTTGTTGCGCCACGGTGCGCCTTTTACACTTAATCAAGGCCTTCTTCGAAAATCATCTTTTCTTTTTCCAAGCTTCTTCATAAGACCCGCCTATTCCCACTACCAAGATTTCTTAAATCTCTAGGTTAAACCACGGGGATCGAACTCGTGACCCTTTGAACCATAGAAAGTTCCACAACCTGTTGCGCCACGGTCAAAGCCTTCAAAAAATAGGCAAAGTCGGAATGACCCTTCACGGGCCCTTTGAGCGTCCGTTACGGATCCGTCTGTTTCCGGAAATTGTTCCTAAACGGTTTCCTTTTTACTGCCTTTTTGCGTCCTTTCATCGGCCTTCATCCACCCTTTTTGGACCCTTTTGAGAAATACAATTTTTTTTAAATTGAGAATAATCTTTACAAGTGACTGCGTATGAACCGAAATAAGCTACAGTAATAACATCGGAAATCATCAATAACAGAGACTTTCAGAACCTTTTTGAATCCCCACTCTTTCTTCACCCTTTTCGCGGCCTCTCCCTTTTTTCGCCCTTTTATGACCCTTTTTAACCCACCAAAAATGAAAGGCTCAATAAAGGCCGTAAAAAGGGACCCTTTTAGCGGCCATTTTGCAGTCACTCCCTTTTTGCACCCGTTTTCCGCACTTCCGACTTTGGCAGTGAAGTCTCTCAAAAATCATCTCCCGTTATCAACAAAGTTGAAATTTTGAATGGCGATCGGCCAACAAAGAGAGATGACGATTCGCTCTTTACGATTCGAAATGCCATGTGTGAGAAATTCCCGACTCGATAAGACGGTTCTTATCGATAGAATTTCGAGTTTTCTCCTCGTCTTGCTTAGTCTTATTGTGCACCTTTCTGTTGGACCAACATGGTGGACCTTTCAGTTTTGAAAGATGTCAAACGGGTTCACATGTACTCCACCATACTTCTACTCGCCTGTATTCAACTCGTCATTATTGTCACTTTTGGAGCAGGTAAAATAGACTATTTTTCGGTTTTTTAAATTTTTTTGAGTCCCTAACTATCATTTTTTTGTTTACATGAGGTGATTTCGGTGAGAAAATAGATTTTTCAGAGCCTCGCAACTTTTAAAAAATTTGAAAAAAATATTCTGTCTAGGGAACGTTTTCTAGTGGAGCTTTTTCTCGTGATCTTGGAATCAAAAGAAAGCGTTCACTTTCGGGTTAACCTTTCATTCCAAGGATAAAATGACGCTTTTTCAAGAAAAAGGGCCATTTTCTTCTTTTTCTGACTTTAACATGACCTTCTTCTTTTCGATACCTTCCCTTAAAAAGGAAGTTTCACGAAAGGACGCTAGGAAGGTTTTTTGAAGGCCACGGCGTTTTTTTCCGTAAAGTCTAGTGTGTGGTGTGCATACACTGCGGCGCTCTGGCACATGTAATTTTCGCCCTTAATTTTTGGTTTTGCACTTTCTTCCACTAACAAAAACGCCGTGAGGTCTTTTGTTCAAAAAGCTCTTTTTTTGAATTTAGCTCACTAGTCAGCAAACTTGGGGCACTGAAAACGGTTGTTTTTTATTTTTTTGAAGTCTGCCAACAAAATGAGCACATTTCAGGATGGACATCGGCCTCAAAGTTCTACAAACTTTTTTATATCGGTAATTTGGGCGCCTCGCCACCGTATTCCACCTTGATACCATATCCAAGCGTAAGCCTATTATTTTTTTAATACGATTTTTAGAATGATGCGACCAATTTTTAACATTTTCGGACACCTGATGGCTTTGGAAGTCTTGAAAAAGTTATCCAATAGAGTTTTATGGACTTTTTTTATGTTATAAAAAAATACTGACAATATCTTATCACAACTGAAGGAATCAGAAAAATTGAAAAAAAGTCATTAAATCGAAAAAAACGCATTTTTTTCTGTTTTTAACACGCCTCTGTAACTCTCAAAATCAACGGGTCAAAAAAAACTTTATTTTTTAATTTTTATGAAACTTTATCCAGTGTGATAGCCTATCTTCTGGCCGCAATTTTTTGAGCCATTTCCTCTTACTGTAGCCGGGTTACGGTAGGCATGTGGTTTTTGAGCCGTATCCTGGGTTTTAAGCCACTTTTTGAGCCATTCCCTCTTACTGTAGCCGGGTTACGGTAGGCATGTGGTTTTTGAGCCATATCCTGGGTTTTAAGCTACTTTTTGAGCCATTCCCTCTTACTGTAGCCGGGTTACGGTAGGCATGTGGTTTTTGAGCCCTTTCCTGGTTTTTGAGCCCCTTTTTGAGCCCTTTTCTGGTTTTTGAGCCATTTCCTCCTACTGTAGCCGGGTTGCGGTAACCCGAAGGGCACCTGCGCATCTAAGTATCGAAGAGTTTTCACTAGGAAATTGATATATCGATCGATAGGTAGTCTAAATTTTGGAACTTTACAGTTCATATCATCTTGGGTTACTGTAGAAACTTTTGAGATACGGTACTGTTTGTGTTTGGGAAGTCTGCCAAATGTAACCCGGCTACAAGAAGAGTTTTGAGGTCAAGAAACTTTTTTTTTAGTGGGTGGGAAAAGTTTTCCTAAAGCTTTCAAGCCAAACATAGGCGCTATAGAAATGTTCCTTTTTTGGTGCCTTTTTGCGCCATTTTATCGACTTTTATGCACCATTTTTGCAGCCTCTCCCTTTTTAACCATTTCTTGGGCCTTTAAAATCCCAGAAAAATGGAAGGCCAGATGAAGGGACTCTTTTTGGTGCCTTTTTGCGCCCTTTTTGGTGCCTTTTTGCTGTCTTTTTCAAGCCTCTCCCTTTGAGCGGCCATTATCCGACTTTGCCCCAATACAAAATTGAAAAAATCATTTTCAGGGAGTCCCGGGTTGGTTTTCCTACGTCGCCATCAACATGTACTTTGCCCTAGCCGTTTCGGTGGCTTTCGTCATTTTTCTAGCCGTTCAAATGTGGGTCTTTTTGCTCAGAAATCATGACGAACACTCGTTGAGAAGATACGGTAGAAAATAATCGTTTCAAGACCATTCCTTCGGAAAAATTCACTGTTCTATGATGTTTTTTAATTTCACCGGATGTTACAAAAACACTAATCAAAACATTTTCTTTGCGTTTTTCCAAGAAATCGATAAAAGTTGGAGTTTATACTGTCTTTTTGAGCTTTCTGTTTTTTTTTCCGATTCTAAACATTGGACCAAATTTTTTTTGCTATTGTAAACGTTACGTAACGTATCGTTCCAGGATCCTTCTTAAATACTCCAGAGTGGTCCCTAGAGGGGTAAAATTAGAGGAGCTTGAAGATTTCCCTCTAGAGGCCATCTTCCGGTAGAGAGGCCTTTAAAGCTTGCAAAAGTGGCCCCTACAGGGGTTTTGCTCAGTGACCCCTATAGGGGACATGCTAGTCGATAATTTTTATGATTTCTAAGCGAAGAAGCATTTTCATGGGGAAAATTGATCATATAAGCGTTTTTTGAATGAAATTGAAAGACCCTTATAGGGTCCACTTGAGCTTTAGGGGCTAAGGAGAACCCGTATAAGGACCACCGCTATTTCACCCCTATAGGGACCACTTTGTCGGCCCCTTTAGGAGTTTTTTCCCCTCCTAACCCCTTTAGGGAACACTCTGGAACTCCTGAGTAAGAAAAGCTAACCCTGAACCCGTATAAAGGTCACCGCTATTTCACCCCTATAGGGATCTTTTTTTCGGCCCCTTCCCTAACCCATATAGGGACCACTCTGGAACTCCCTAGTAAGAAAGGCTATAGAAAATCCAAAAAAAAACTTTGAAAATTACACGGAAAACAAAAATTGTTCATCAAATACGGTTTTTACTTGTTTCAACACCAGGAAAGTGCATTCCATAATCATATTTTTTGTAAAATACTCGAATTTTGAGCTTAAAAGATGTTGAATGTCAAGAGAGCGTAATATTTGAAGAATATTCAAAAAAAAAACCCTTTTCCAGCATGATGCCAGCCCTATTGGAGGGCAAACAGAAGATTGTCATTTTGGCCGATTTGGTCGTCTCGATCACCCTGACGCTGATCCTTTTCATCACTTACATTGTCTTCGCCTCCTCTCTGAATGGTACCTTTTGAAATTCTAAACTTGAAATGAATAGAAACTTTTCAGGAGCCAAAAACTACACGCTTTGGGGTTTGGTGAGTATTTTCTATTTTTAAAGATAATTTTTTTTTCAAGAAAACTTATCCATTAAAATATAGAGAAAATGGAGGAAAAAAACGGAATTCAGTTACGGCATAATTTTCATCCATTCATTAAGAACCTTTCTGAAAAAAAATATATAAAAAATAAAGTTTTTCAGATAAAAATGCCAGAGTGCGTCATAAATATTGATGCAAAATTAAAGTACCATCAAAACTCACAAAAAAATTATGCGAAAAATTCCGAGATATTAGTGAAAAAGTTTAATTGAATCTACGCGATTTTTTTTTCTTTTTAGAAAGGTATTAATCTTGAAACAATGCTTTCTTGAAACAAATTCCCGAGTGCGTCTTATTTATTGATACAACTATGCAATTTCGTCACGAAAATCATTGAAATAAATCGCAAATTTAGCGACAGAAACGTAAAAAAAACGGAACTGATGTTCAATATGTATATTGAAAGATTTATCAAGAAGTTTTTCAAAAAAAAAAAAACATGAAAAGAGGATTTTCGCATAACTTCACGCGTCGAAAAAAGGTTCCAACACGTTTGAAAGTAACTCAAGTTTAACAAAAATTTCCCGTTAAATTATAAATAAAACTATTCGTGTGATCATATTCCATTCATTATGACAAATACTCAGAAGAAGAAAAACCGAAAAATAAAAATAATTCCAGATCGCCAAAATGCGTCATAAGTATTGACGCGTGCTTAAAAATTAAATTCAACTTATATTTGTAGGAAAAATTTTTTTCAATGGACCTATAAAAAAAGATGAATGAAGCAAATAAGACACTTTAATGAAACTATAGAATAATAATTTTATTCATTTTCAAAAAAAGCGTGTTTGATTTATTGAACAATCTTGGAAAAAGTCTAAAAAAATTCCTCGATGAACGTTAAATTTAACGGACCTGAAGTAAATTTATTATTTATTTTCAACTTTCTGAAGTTTCATTCGAGAAAATCCAAAAAATCAAACCTCTTTCTGGTATTTTTCAAGAATGCGTCATAAATATCGAATCCCGCTCCGATTTTGTCCGAAATTGATTGAAATATACTATTACTCGGCAGACACCTCGGCCCGGTGCAACCCCCAAATTTGCTCTCTTTTCCCCATCTTTTGCACTTTGCAAGTGGTAGTGACAAACCGTAACATTTTCGAGTCTTTTTCGTGCGAAAGGAGAGGCTGCACAGTGCTGACCACGAAATTCAAAATGCAAGAAAAAAAATATTATTATCAACGGTGCGACTTAACCTATTCCCATGGGGCGCAAAAGAGGTAAGCTATTACGATAGCTGCAGATTCTATTTAAGTTCAAAAGATCTACTAAATAAAAATTTTAGAATTGAATTTGAGAAAATTACAGATTTGAGATTCGCTTTTTTTCGCTCGCTTTCTCCCCTGAAATTGCACTGAATTGACTCGGAATTTCGAAAAACTCCACTCTCGAGGTCATTGCGCAATAAAAATGTCACCGCGCTCGGTTCTGCCCCTGAATGTGCGAGAAAAAGCACCGAAAATTTAAAGGCCGCATCCCAGATAGGGTCTGCCCGGAGCATAATTCCTGCCGAGTAAAGTGCGTCATAATTATTGATACTTGTTAGAAAAACAACCCAAAATTTCAACGAAAACTTATCAAATCGAGTAAAAATAGATAAAAATCTAAGCAAACTAGTTACTTCAAGCTGAAAAAAATCAATAAATCTTCAAAAAAATAAAAAAAGAACCAACCTTTTCTTTGGATGTTTTTTTAGAGTGCGTCAGAAATATTGAAACACGCTTCAATACGTGATAACTTTCTTCAGTAAAAAAATTATTATATAAAAACTTGAAAAAAATGATTTTATTGAAATTTTAAAAAAACAAGGTAAAAAAAGAGGTAGGAAAGGAACATTTTCGTACACATCGGAAAAGAGGCGATTTCTGGTGGCTTTTGCGCATTTTTTTGAACTTGAAAACCCACAAAAAAAATCTTTTCTTTCAGCAACTGGGCTATTGTTTCGGCTTATCAATCTTCGCGTCACTGATTTCATTGGCCGCCGTTATCATCAACGGAATTTGTTTCTGGCACAACAAATAAAATGACTCAATTCCTCGCTATTTATCGCAAAATCTAGTTCCAGAAAGCTTTATTTGTTCAGTTTGATATTGTTAAATGAGTAAATTTGTACATTTTCAAAAGCTAACACCATGAAAAGGGGGCGCTTCCTGCCAAGAAGCTGAAAAAAAGACGAAAAGCAAAATTAAGTTGATAAGTTGGAAGAAAAAGAACCAGAGAAGTGCGATTCGGTACTGGATCTGGAACGGAAAAGGCAATTTTTACATTTTCTAACTTTTTCTATTTTCACCTTCTGCCAAATTTCCTCTTTTTTGTTTTTCATACGGCCGTCGGATCGTGCGGAAGAAGGCGTCTTATTTTTTTCTGATAAATCGGAGACTCGATTATCGGAATCCCAGACGGAGGCGTCAACTCGAGTCAGGAAATGGACGATTCGGCCGGGTTTTCTGGTCAACTCCATCCTAGAAGTGGCCTGGCCTCGGATGAAGCCCAGGCCGAGGGTCAGGGTACACAGGACCAGGGCTTCGATGACGTAGTAGCCTGGAAAATGATCAAAATCAAGAAAAAAGAGGGTCACGAGGAATCAACGGAAGCCAGAAGAGACGCGAGAGAAATATATTTCCTCTCGTTTCTCTGATATCTCTCCAAGTTTTCAGTGATCTCTCGTTTTGAAGTTGATGACAGAACTCTAAGGAGGTTCTTGAACTTGATTTTCAAGGAAAACAGAGGAGATAGAGTTAAAAAAATTGAAAAAAAAAGAGCGGGTAATATTAGATCAACTTCAATCTGAAGAGGTACCAGAGAAGCGAGACTTTCCCTGTTTCTCTAGAGTCTCTTCAGTCCTCTGTTGACCTCTCACTCTTCAAATTGAAAAGACACGGATAAGAAAAAAGAGGATACGAGACAGAGCGCAACCAGAAGAGACGCCAGAGAACGAGAGTTTCTGACTTCTCTGGAGCCTCTTAATTTTGTCTTCTCTCTCGCCATTTCTTCTTTCAAAGATCAAAAAATCAACCAAGCCACGCCAATCCAGGAGTCTTCGGTAACTTGTCGGCGACGATGCTCAGCATAAAAATCAAGGCTAAAATCGATCCTAAGCCAAGTCCTACCTGAAAAATGATGTAATTAGAAGTTTCACATGTGATTCTGTTTATTCAGTACTGAAAATCCTTTAAAACGAACAATATCATTAGATTCGTCCTTTCGAAGAGGTACCAATGCTCCAGTGATCGTAACGACGCAAATGAAAAACGTCGGAATCACGACCATCACGATATAATACGTCGGATAACGTTTCAAGTGCGCTATGAAGAAAATCTGAATCATTAAACTTTTTCAAAACCGCACCGCGTCAAGCCATTCCCAATGCGACCAAAAACAAACCGTTCGATGAGTCGCTGAGTAAACAAGGTAGGACCTCTCAGCTACGCTTTGGTTGAAACATTTGAACTCACTGTTCCCCTAGAAATTATTTTTTAGAATGATTCGTAGCCGTCAGGCTTCTCTGCACTCTCTGTTCTCTAACTTATACTTTCCGTGTTTCTCTGGTGAGAGAATAGAGGGAGCAGATAGGTCAGACAGTTTTAAAACGTGATCTCTCTGTTTGAAACGCGAAACATTTGAACTCACTGTTCCCCTGGAAATGCTCAGTTAAAATGATTGGGGCCGTCTGACTTCTCAGCGCTCTCTGTTCTCTAACTTGATACTTTCCGTGTTTCTCTGGTGAGAGAATAGAGGGAGCAGATAGGTCAGACAGTTTTAAAACGTGTCCTCTCTGTTTGAAACGTGAAACATTTGAACTCACTGTTCCCCTAGAAATTATTTGTTAGAATGATTCGTAGCCGTCTGACTTCTCTGCACTCTCTGTTCTCTAACTTGATACTTTCCGTGTTTCTCTGGTGAGAGAAAAGAGGGAGAAGACAGGTCAGACAGTTTCAAAAAGTGATCTCTCTGTTTGAAACGTGAAACATTTGAACTCACTGTTCCCCTGGAAATGCTCGGTTAGAGTGATTTGAAGCCGTCTGACTTCTCTGCGCTCTCTGTTCTCTAACTTGTTACTTTCCGTGTTTCTCTGGTGAGAGAAAAGAGGGAGAAGACAGGTCAGACAGTTTTAAAAGTGATCTCTCTGTTTGAAACGTGAAACATTTGAACTCACTGTTCCCCTGTAAATGCTCGGTTAGAGTGATTTGAAGCCGTCTGACTTCTCTGCGCTCTCTTTTCTCTAACTTGATACGTTCCGTGTTTCTCTGGTGAGAGAATAGAGAGAGCAGGCAGGTCAGACATTTTTCTCTCTATTTGAAATGTTTCAAGCTTTCAAAATTCCTCAGCATTCAAATACAGTACTAATCAATATTTCAATCACTTGGAACAGTCTCATTTCTCTGCGCCCTCTCTTCTCTTGCTTTTCCTTTTAATATGACCACGCCGGTATGGAAAGCGCGCGTTTTATAATTTAAGAAAGACTACAGTATACAGAGCTTTTTTCGCGCTTCGTTTTAAGACCTGTTATCTCAAGGTGTACGGTAGTCCAACCAGGACCTAACCCGGAAAAAAAAGCTATACCTGCAAATTGATATTACCATCGATGCGGGGAACCGCGTCGCACTGGTCGATCGATATCGAGGGAGACGAATAAGCGATTACACAGTACTGAGTATCGAAGGGAAACCTTCAAAAAATCTCTCAATGCTAGAAAAAAAAGTTTAATGACCTGGAAACATCAACTTCGCACACGAAACGCGCATAGAGAGTTTTCCGAAGCCGAACCAAACCATCCGAAAAAATCTGAACATGACGTCTTACTGTATTGAAGAAGGGTTCGACTCAGAGTTCGAAGAAGAATCGACTCTAACAAAAGTTGGGATGGACATCAATTTTTCGGGGTTCACTGCGGGGTGCACCCCCCTTTTCGTTAGAGTAACAAAAGTGACCGCGCACCCCGTCGAACACTCGGTGCACCCCGCTTTGAACTCTCGGTGCACCCCGCAGTGTACCCCGTTTAGCTTTGAATGCCTAATAAGGCACTTACACCAGGGGTGTGCACCCCATCCAGGTCTAATGCAGGGTGCGCTGAAAACATCAACGAAAACTTCACCTTTTTTGTGGTTCACTGCGGGGTGCACTCTCATTTTTGTTAGAGCGAAACACAAGTTGCTGTGTACCCCACTTCGAATTCTCGATGCACGTAGCGTCGAACTCTTGGTGCGCCCCGCTTGGAACTCTCGGTGCACCCCGTTGCGAACTCTAGGTGCACCCCGTTTCGAACTCTCGGTGCACCCCGCAGTAAAACCAGCGGTGCACCCCCATTTAGCTTTAAATGCCTAGTAAGGCACTTACCCCAGGGGTGCACCCCATCCAGGTCTAATGCAGGGTGCGCTGAAAACATCAACGAAAACTTCACCTTTTTTGGGGTTCACTGCGGGGTGCACTCTCATTTTTGTCTGAGCGAAACACAAGTTGCTGTGTACCCCACTTCGAATTCTCGATGCACGTAGCGTCGAACTCTTGATTCGCCCCGCTTGGAACTCTCGGTGCACCCCGCTTCGAACTCTCGGTGCACCCCGCAGTGTTATCAACGTGTACCGCGCTTATCTTTGAATGCCTATTACGGTACTTATTCGGTACACGATTTCGAAATGGTATTTTTCCCAATATCACCATTTCCCACAGTTTCATCCTAGGCTGTAACGGTAGCTCAAAAGCAAATTTTATTTCCGACTGGTTGCCGCAGGGGTGCACGCCATCCAGGTCCAATACGGGGTGCACCGAAACGTTCCACAAAAAATTCACTTTTTTCAGGACTCACTGCGGGGTGCACCCTCATTTTTGTTAGAGGAACAAAAGTTGTAGGGCACCCTACGTCGAACTCTCGGTGCACCCCGAAATGTAACCATAGGCGTACCCCGTTTAGCTTTGAGTGCCTTTCAAGGCACTTGTTACGTACACGATTTCAAGTGGCTCGTTACCCAATGTACCCATTCTCTAGAGTACTATCCTAAGTTGTTACGGTAGCTCAAAAACAACTTTTTATTCCCGACCGATAGCCCCAGGGGTCCAATGCTGGTCCAAGGTCCAATGCGGGGTGCCCCGAAAGAACAACAAAAGTTCACTTTATTATGAATTCACTGCGGCGTGCACTCTCATCTTCGTCTGAATAAAAAAAGTTGCGGTGCACCCCGCATTGAAACCAGGGGTGTACCCGTTTCTCTTTAAATGCCTATTAAAGTACTTTTTCCGTACACGTTTTCGTATCAAATGACCCTCTGTTGATAAATCATTCGAATAATAGAAATACTTCTTAGCCCAGAATGGACAAAATGTTCCACTAGAGTGACCATATACTAGAAACCCTATAGGGAGAGGTTAAGTGGTCCCTAGAGGGTAGCCTCAGAGGGCCCTAAGGCATGAAAATTTGAAAAAGAAACCTTAACATAATCCGATTCGCCATCGTTTTGTACGACTTCAATGGTGTTGTAGGCATAGAATGGAGGAATCCAGAGCTAGAAAAACCGATAAATCTTTCAATAAAATGAACAGGAAAACCTCAGAAACAGGTATATAAACTGTTGTTTGATTGTACTCGGTAGCATTGAAACGCAGCCGTTCGTCGTACCATGTCTCGAAAAAATGTATAAATCAAAATAATGAAGAACAGTTTCTGAATAAGCTTCAGAAAGCACAGCCAAGTGCGGAAAACGGGTGCAAAATGGCTGCTAAATGGGTTCCGTTTTGCGGCCTTTATTGAGCCTTTCTTTCTTGGTGTGCAAAAAGGGCTGCAATGCAAAAAGGGTGAAAAAAGGGTGCTGAAAGCCTCTGTTATTGATGATTTCCGATTTTATTACTGTAGCACATTTTGGTTCATACCCAGCCACTAGTGAATTTTATTCTCAGTTTTAAAAATTCCTTCTCAAAAGGGTCCAAAAAGGATGGATAAAGGCCGATGAAAGGGCGTAAAAAGGCAGTAAAAAGGAAACCGTATCCGCCCGTTTAGGAACAATTAATGGATAGCTATTTGATCCATAAACGGACGCTCAAAGGTCCTTCCGACTTTGCCTATAAAGATACATATTGTCAACCAGAAAACTCAAGGGGGGGGGGGATTACAAAAATAAACCCTTACCATTGAATAAGAGTACAGGAAATCGGCCTCGCGGTCATTTTCCTTCTGGAAAAATTCCGAAAATCACCATTTTTGATTTTGAAACATACCACAGCAAGAAGGACCATGAAACGGGATCGTTAAATTGACAATGACAGTTTCTTGTCGAATATTATAGGGACTGGATCGTTTGTCGTAGCCATTGAGAAGTGTGGAAACAATGTCGCCAACGACTGGAAAAATTTCGGTCGCATTTGGAATGACTCAAACGCGGGGCGGTTGCGATGCGGTTTTCATTAAGTATCTCAAGTTCAACCGCAGCGCAACCGCGACGCTTCCGAGCCATTCCAAATGCGTTCTGAAGGATTATGAATGTACTTAGAGTTCAGTACTCACGTTATTGTTTTTTGGTCGCATTTGGAATGACTCAAACGCGGGGCGGTTGCGATGCGGTTTCATCAATTATCTCAAGTTCAACCGCAGCGCAACCGCGACGCTTCCGAACCATTCCAAATGCGTTCTGAAGGATTATGAATGTACTTAGAGTTCAGTACTCACGTTATTGTTTTTGGTCGCATTTGGAATGGCTCAAACGCGTGGCGGCTGCGATGCGGTTTTCATCAAGTATCTCAAGTTTAAGAGTGAATATTGAGCCGCAGCGCAACCGCGACGCGTCCGAGCCACTTTAAATGCGTTCTGAAGGATTATGAATGTACTTAGAGTTCACTATTCACATTATTTTTTTTCAATAAAACATTTTTTTTCTACGAGTTGAAATCAACAAAAATACAACTTCCAACGGTGATTTTGTGCAGAAAAGGACTCAAAAATCCCAAAAAAACTCGTTTTGAATGTTTTTTTAAAGAAAAATCTATAAAAGTGCGCCGAAAAAGCCTTGCAAATTCAAAAAAACCAACCTACATGACCAAAAAATACAAAGAGTAATGAGAAACTCTGTAACGCTGTCATCATTTGACGTCCAAAAAAACCAGGCAATAAAAAAAAAGTTCCAACTTTTCGAGCCGCCAGACGACGAAATTCGATAGGAAAACCTTTCGGTTATGCTATTTGAGCGGGGCGAAACCAGAGTATAGTGTTCAAGAAGTAGTCAGTAGCCACTAAATTTGATTGAAGCGTCGTAGTGAATAAAACTTGGGCGTGTTTCGATTATTGTCAGGTGAAAAAAAGGGTATGAAGAATAAGACTTTTCGAGTCGGGGCGAAAACATGAGAGCCGAAGGTCTTAGGAATTCCAGAGTGGTTCCTATGGGGGTTAGGGAAGAACAACAACCCCTACAGGGCCCAAAAAAGTGGTTCCTATAGGGGTGAAGTAAGGCGGTCCCTATAGGGATTTAGGGTCTGACCCCTTAGCCGTAAAAGCTCCAGGGGGCCCTATAGGGGTTAGAGGAGAAAAAAACCCCTTTAGGAGCCGAAAAAGTGGCCCCTATAGGGGTAAGATTAAGGCGCTCTGAGTTCTTAGTTCCTAAAGCTGAAGTGGACCCTATAGGGGTCTGTCAATTTCATTTAAAAACGCTTATTCATTCCGTTTTCCGCATGGAAATGCTTCTAAAGTGGCCACTATCCTCCGTTTTAGTGGCCACTATAGGGTTCACTATTTAGTGGCCACTTCAGTAATTTTTCATCCAGTATTCCTTCCAGTAACTCTGATAATTTTAAAAACAAACAGAGTGGACCAGTTATGTTGATCCATTGATCCCTAAAGTGGCCACTAAGAATTTTAGTGATCTAGTAATCGCACTTAGATCTCTATAGTGGCCACCAAATTTTAACCCCTTAAGTGGCCACTAATTTCACTACTATAATGGCCACTAAAACGTCAAAACCCTATAGTGGCCACTAAAAATTTTCCCAGTGTGGACAACTTTTGCAATTGGCCCCTATAGGGGTTGGAAAATTGGTTCCTAGGGCGTGAAAAAGCCGCATTTGGAATGGTTCAATGCGTTGCGGTCGCGCTGCGGTTCAAGAACCTTCTCTAAATTCACGAAATTCGCATGGAAGTACTTGGTATTGTCATATTAGAGATCCGAAACCTAAAAAATACCCAAAATTGGGATCATATTTATGATTTCACTGCAGATTCCAAAACACTGAAAATTCCAAATTTTATGGAAAAATCCAGTTAAAAACAAGGAAAAACACAGTTTCCAGGTTGAATCTGGCCGGTGGAGAAGCCTGAATAAGAAAAATTAAAAAAATTCTTGTTTTTTTCTAAACATACCGGTTGTAGATGGAAAGAATACCAGTATTTTTTTAATGAATGGACTTCAAAAAAATCTAGAAGCTGACACCCTTGAAAGGGGGAGTTTCTAGCCAAGAAGCTGAGAAAAAGACAAAAAGCAAAATTAAGTTGATAAGTTGGAAGAAGAAGAACCAGAGCAGTGCGATTCGGTACTGGATCTGGAACGGAAAAGACAATTTTTACATTCTCACTTTTTCTATTTTAACCTTCTGCCAAATTTCCTCCTTTTTGTTTTTGATACGGCCGTCGGATCGGGCTGACGAAGTCGTCTTATTTTTTTCGGTTAAATCGGAGACTCGATTATCGGAATCCCAGACGGAGGCGTCGACTCGGGTCAGGAAATGGACGATTCGGCCGGGTTTTCTGGTCAACTCCATCCTAGAAGTGGCCTGGCCTCGGATGAATCCCAGGCCGAGGGTCAAGGTACACAAGATCAGGGCTTCGATCACGTAGTAGCCTGGGAAATGATCAAAATCATGAAAAAAAAGGGTCATGAAGGGTTAAACGGAAGCCAGAAGAGACGCGAGAGAAGTATATTTCCTCTCGTTTCGCTATTGCCTCTCCAAATTTTCAGTGATCTCTCACTCTGAAGTTGTAGGGATTGTGAACTTGATCTTCGAAACAATTTTTCGGATGAGATGTCCAAAAGCAGAAGTAAGAGATCAACTACGACCCGAAGAGACGCCAGTGAAGTCAGTATACTCTAGTTTCTCTAGCATCTCTTCACATAGCCTTTATCTCTCATTTTCACTTTTTATTCTTTTGAACACTCAAGCAACAGAGAGACAGTAATTCGCTTGAAGAGACGGCTGAGAACTCAAGAAACTCTCTTTCTCTGACCTCTCTTCAGGTCTTCGTTGATCTCTCGCTCCAGTTCCCAACTTCTGGAACTTGGAAGAAAGAGAGAGATCAACTGCGACTTTAAGAGACGCCAGAGAAGTGAGAAAACTCTAGTTACTCTATCGTCTCTTCACAAGCCGTTATCTCTCATTTTCACTTTTTATTTTTTCAAACACTCAAACAACAGAGAGACAGTCATTCGCTTGAAGAGACGCCAGAGAAATCGAAAAACTCTCTTTCTCTGGCCTCTCTCAGGGGTTCCGTTGATCTCTCGTTTAGGCTCTTTAATCCTGGCACTTGGAAGGTCGAGAGAGAGATCAACTGCGACCTGAAGAGACGCCAGAGAAGTTAGAACACTCTAGTTTCTCTAGCGTCTCTTCAAATAGCCGTTATCTCTCATTTTCACTTTTTTTTCCTCAAACGACAGAGACAGTCATTCGCTTGAAGAGACGCCAGAGAAATCGAAAAACTCTCTTTCTCTGGTCTCTCCGCTGGTCGTCGTTGATCTCTCGCTCCAGCTCCTTACTTCTGGAACTTAGAAAGAAAGATGGAGAAATATAGAGATCAACTGCAACCTGAAGAGACGCCAGAGAAATCGAAAAAAACTCCTCTTTGGTCTCTCCGCTGGTCTCCGTTGATCTCTCGCTTCAGCTCCTAATAATAATAATTTATTGACAGATCAGCGTGAACCCTAACGAGTTCACTTGGATCTAGAATTTGAGAGAATACATTATACAGTTATACATCATTTGAGTCGTGGAGGAATAGACAAGAAGATCTCGTGCAATGGTAGATTGACCAGTAAGTTTTTTTTAAAGACTTGGGGTGGTGGCTGAATTGAAATTTGGAAGTGAGTTTGTTCCAAGTAGGAATTGTTTTAAAGAAAAAAATCATTAGAAAAACTGACCTTGAGAACGCAGTCGAAGTGGATTTCGCCTTAAATTGACCTGAGGGCAAAAAAAGTTCGAACTGGGGAAAATGATCGATACCGAAGACAATTTTATGAAGGGTCAGAATGTCAGATATAGCTCGTCTGAGGTAAAGTGGAGAGATATCAAATTGTTCAAGGCGATCAGAGTAAGATTCAAAGGATAAGTTGGACCTAATAAAAATTTTACGAGAAAAAATTCTGAGAGGAGATTCCAGTTTGTAGCAGAGATCAGAGTTAAGGGGAGGGTTAAAAAAACTTCGGAGCAGTATTCTAGAATAGGCCTTACATAGGTGTTAAAAAAATTTTTGAACAATAGATCAGGTGATTTGGAACGAAAAACAGTTGAGTATCTGATTGGAAACGAAGGGTTGCTAAAGAAACGATATTGTTAATGTGAGGAGCGAGAGTTAGTTTATCATCGATAAGAACACCTAGATCACGGATAATGGTTTTTCTGGGAATAGACAGACCATTGATTAAATAAGTTGTTTTGGGATTGAGGGGACCAAGGTTGATAGCAAAAGTTTTGTGCGCAGCAAGAGGCAAGCCCCAAATGGAAGACCATTCAAATATGGAATTAATACTACGTTGGAGAGATTCAGGGTTAGAACTGTAAATTTTTATATCATCAGCGAACAGAGAGATTGAGGTTTCATGGTCAATGTAGTTAACAATATCATTGATGAAAATTAGAAAAAGCAAAGGACCAGATACAGTTCCTTTGAAGGACACCGGAAGTATTGAGATAAGTAAGAGAAGAACGAGATCCATCGATCAGAACATTAGAAACACGCTCAGATAAGAAGTTTTTTTGTACCATCGAACAACGTTTTCGTCAAGACCAAAGTTCTTGAGCTTATGAACAAGCAGAGAATGATTTACCTTATCAAAAGCCTTGGCAAAAGTCAAAATAAAACAACATCGACAAATTTTTTCGAGGCGATAGATTTTTGCCAAGAGGAGAGGCAAGATAGAAGGTTGCTTTTGCAAGATCGTTTGTTTAAAAAAACCAAACTGAGATTCAGAAAAACAATGAGGAGAATCTCCGGCGAATCATATCACAAATAATCCTTTCAAAGACCTGGGACAAAGGATGTGTCAAGGATATAGGGCGGTAGTTTGACGGATCTGAAGTTTTTTTCCACGTTTGAAAAATAGGAATTACCGTGGTAGATTTCCAGGAGGGTGGAATGAAACCGAATAAAAAAAGATTCGTTAAACAGAATAGACAGAGGAATAGAAATAGATGTAGAGCACCTTTTTAAAACAAGTTGATTGATTAAGTCAGGCGAAAAACCGCATTTGGGAGGTAAAGCTATCAGAGTTTTTATAAACAAGTTCAGGAGTGAACGAAATAGAGCAGTTAGTGGCTTTTTGGGGAAGGGAAAATGGGCATCAAATCGTAAACTTCATCAGAAAAAAATTTGTGCTAAAAAAATTTGAGCAAAAAAACATCTGCTTTTGAGGAGCTTTCAGAAATAAGGGAATTGTTGTAAGTAATGTTGGGGGATGGAAGAACAACATTTGAGTTTTTTTGGAGATATATTTGGAAAAGTTGAACATGGTTGAAATTGTTAGCAATGTAAGTTTCCTGTGCCAGGGAGATGGAGGAGGCACAAGCTTTTGATTTTTTTATACAGTAGATTGAATTGGAGGCGAGTAGAATTATTGAAAAAGATTAGCACGAATGAGACTGGCTCTTTTAATATTTAGCCGGCGAATACGATTGTCATGGTTGAATGGGCGACGACTGAGGGGGGAGTTAGAAAACTAGAACAGGAATCACGAACAATTTCATTAAAAAAATTTTTTTAAAAAAATGAGAAAAATTTACTCTCAACAGAGGAAAAAATAGCTGAACTGCCGATCCCAGTTGAAAGAAGAAATTAAGTCGTTAACTCTAGAAAAAAATTACATTTTTTTAAATTGAGCTTTCGAACGGATGATGTGTGGTTAATCGGAGAACAGACAGAAATGGAAAAATAGAATGGAAAAAGTGATCGGACCCTAAGAGTGGTTCAGAAACTGACAAATCTGGAAAAAGAGAAGGGTTGGTTGTTAGAAGTAAGTCCAAAAATGTTAGCAGTGCTTGAAGTGCAACGAGTAGGAGAGTGAACTAATTGAGTAAGGTTAGAAGTGATAGTAAAATCGAGAAAGACTGAAGAAAGAGGGCAAGTCGAAGTCAGAGAAGACCAATCAATTTTTGGAAGGTTGAAATCGCCAATCAAATGGTTATTGAAAGGAAGTAAAAATTTGGATAAATGTTTCAACAAGCTAATAGTATAATTTTTTGAAGTGGAAGGAGGACGGTAAGCTAAGAAAAACCTAGATTTGGACGGTGAATAAAAATCAAAGGCAAGTACCTCACAGAAATGTTCGGGATAGTGACGATCCAAGGCTAAATCCACTTCTGCGATTCCCAGGTGTTTTTTGAAGAAAATGATGATTCCACCACCTCCACAACGAGAGGAGCTTGTAGGCCGATCTACCCGTACGAAACTGTAAAAAAATTGTTAAAAAAAGAGAATCATGACATGTTGAATCAAGAAATGTTTCAGATAAAAACATAAATCAATATTGTTAGTAATTAAATGGTCAAAAAAAGCAAGTTAATTTTGGAGGGAGATCTAATAGAGCGAATATTTGCGTAAAGGCAAGACAACTTTTTGACCAGATCGAGTTAGCGTGGGGAGAGGGCGCGAAAAGACCGCGAAAAAGAGTTAGAATTCAAATTATGTACAAGGTTTGACCCACCAGATGATGATAATTCACAAGTGTTAAATAGAATTAGGATCAGATATATCATTCACATTAGCCGATAAGTTGACATTAACAGGGTTAGAAATAAAAAGAAATATTGTTCACAGGAGTAAAATTAGTATTAACAGAAATGTTCGATGTTATGAGGTACAGGCAAAGGGATACATTTGGACCTTTCAACAATGGTGAGGTCTCTGAGATAAAATCTGCAATTTGCCTTCGTCTTGATTGAGAACAAAGACACGATGACGAAGGCGGCGAAGGAGGACAAGTTCATGAGGAATCATATCACGACGAACGCGACAATATGGTACAATGGTGTTTTGAAAAAGCGCAGAAACGGCTCTTTGAAACCAAAAATAAACATATTGCGAGAATGAACAGAGGAAAATTGGATTTTAACCGGTCTAAAACGAGAATTACATGGATGTCGATGGATACTAAGCGGGGCAGGAATGTTCAGATGAGAACAAACCTTATTAACTAGGATAGAATCATCAATTTCTTGTTGGGGCGTTTTGGAATCAGCAAGTTTCTCAAGAACTGCACGAAACGACTTCTCCAAAAAGGTGGTGGAAGATGAAGCACGAGCGACAGCAGCCCACAGTTCACGGTCAGAGAGAGCATCGAGACCACGTTGATCACCAGAGGCAGAGTTCACGACAGGAGGATGAGGAGTAGCAGAGGCTTGGGCGGCAGGAACATGAGCCAAAAGGGAAGCTGAGCCACAGGAGCATGACGAGTTGAATCAGTTTGAGGGCCGTCGAGTTTTTGAAGCCAGATCATTCAATTGTATCATGATCAACTGGACTTGAGATTTGAGAGCAGCCACTTCTCGAAGAACAAGAGAATTAGGAGGTATGGAACTCCTAGGTGTAGAACCATCATGAGCAGC